AGCTCAACTCAAGTCCTCTTTGAGCTCAACTCAAGTCCTCTTGGAGCTCAACTGAAGTCCTCTTTGAGCTCAACTCAAGTCCTCTTTGAGCTCAACTCAATGCCTCTTTGAGCTCAACTCAATTGAGCTCAACTGAAGTCCTCTTTGAGCTCAACTCAAGTCCTCTTTGAGCTCAACTCAAGTCCTCTTTGAGCTCAACTCAAGTCCTCTTTGAGCTCAACTCAATCCTCTTTGAGCTCAACTCAAGTCCTCTTTGAGCTCAACTCAATTCCTCTTTGAGCTCAACTCAAGTCCTCTTTGAGCTCAACTCAAGTCCTCTTTGAGCTCAACTCAATTGAGCTCAACTGAAGTCCTCTTTGAGCTCAACTCAACTCCTCTTTGAGCTCAACTCAACTCCTTTTTGAGCTCACTCAACTCCTCTTTGAGCTCAGCTCAAGTCCTCCTTGAGCTCAACTCAAGTCCTCTTGGAGCTCAACTCAATTCCTCTTTGAGCTCAACTCAAGTCCTCTTTGAGCTCAACTCAATGCCTCTTTGAGCTCAACTCAAGTCGAGCTCAACTCAAGTCCTCTTTGAGCTCAACTCAACTCCTCTTTGAGCTCAACTCAAGTCCTCTTTGAGCTCAACTCAACTCCTCAAGTTCTTGAGCTCAACTGAAGTCCTCTTTGAGCTCAACTCAAGTCCTCTTTGAGCTCAACTCAATGCCTCTTTGAGCTCAACTCAATTGAGCTCAACTGAAGTCCTCTTTGAGCTCAACTCAAGTCCTCTTTGAGCTCAACTCAAGTCCTCTTTGAGCTCAACTCAAGTCCTCTTTGAGCTCAACTCAACTCCTCTTTGAGCTCAACTCAAGTCCTCTTTGAGCTCAACTCAAGTCCTCTTTGAGCTCAACTCAAGTCCTCTTTGAGCTCAACTCAATGCCTCTTTGAGCTCAACTCAATTGCTCTTTGAGCTCAACTGAAGTCCTCTTTGAGCTCAACTCAACTCCTCTTTGAGCTCAACTCAATGCCTCTTTGAGCTCAACTCAATTGAGCTCAACTGAAGTCCTCTTTGAGCTCAACTCAAGTCCTCTTTGAGCTCAACTCAATGCCTCTTTGAGCTCAACTCAATTGAGCTCAACTGAAGTCCTCTTTGAGCTCAACTCAAGTCCTCTTTGAGCTCAACTCAACTCCTCTTTGAGCTCAACTCAAGTCCTCTTTGAGCTCAACTCAAGTCCTCTTTGAGCTCAACTCAACTCCTTTTTGTGCTCAACTCAATTCCTCTTTGAGCTCAACTCAACTCCTCTTTGAGCTCAACTCAAGTCCTCTTTGAGCTCAACTCAATGCCTCTTTGAGCTCAACTCAAGTCGTATTTGAGCTCAACTCAATTCCTCTTTGAGCTCAACTCAACTCCTCTTTGAGCTCAACTCAACTCCTCTTTGAGCTCAACTCAACTCCTCTTTGAGCTCAAATCAACCAATTTTTCTCAGTTCAACCCAGCTCAGTGCAGCTCAGCTCAATTCAACTCACTCAACTCACTCAACTTGTCAACTCACTTGCCAACTCGGCTGTGCTTGCAGTTTTCGTGAAATCGTTGCAGTAGCACTGCTTTAGCTTGACTTGCCCAATTGCTCACCTACGTGTTTTCGGTGTTTAGCTGACTGTGCGCGTGGGTTTCCTCGGTCACAAACAGTGGTTTGCAAGCGTCTCAATCCAGTTGAAACAAGGCACCGCATGTTTGGCGGCTGCAAGCCTCCGTGTTACTGTTGTCAAGCCCATAATTTTTCTGATGCAACGGTGCAACTATTTACAACCTCCTGCAGCGGAAACAAATCCTGCTTGCCGGCATGTCTCTTTTTTCTTATGCAAATGAGGGGTGTGACTGTGTTTGGTTCAGAGTCGCACTTCATTGATTCAACCAGGAACATGAAATGAAGGTACTGGATTCTGAGCCGCTTTCTATAACACATTTAGATTGCCGATGTTGGATACGTCTTTTGTTTACCTGACTGTTGATGACAGAATCTCGCAGCATGAGTGTGTCCCCTTGTTTGCTAGAAGTGACTCGCATTCTTTAGGGCAGCCGAGATCAGCAGAGCGGGCCTTTGGGCCAAATAGGCGGCAATGTCCAGGTAGGTCTCTTGCGTCATCCACAACAAAAGCTGCAAGTTCCCTCTTGAGAAGGCGACAATCCTTTTCTATTGGAGAGTGGCCCACATCATGCCAGCTTCGACTTGTCTATGGCAAGTTGCTTCTAACATGGCTTGCGTAACTCGCCTTGTTCCAATATTCACGGCTCTGGTACACCAAATCTGAAAACGCCACCCTATTGGAAAGCATGTGTGTTCCAAGGATAGTGTGCTGGTTCTTTCGCCCTGAGCTCAATTTGCTACACTGCACGGTGAGCATGCTCCCTCAATAACTCTTGGACCGGATACTCCTGAAGGAAGGAGATGCCTCCCTGTTCGTTGTTCGTGGGATTTTGTGGGACACCACATGCTCCAGCACACCCCTTGGACGACCGCCATTTTCAGGGGAGGATGTGCAGCCCCTGTGGCGCGCCCAGCTGACCCTGCCAGGCACGCTGGATTTCATCCTTCGTCGCCTTCTGAATCCCAAAATCCGAAACGGGTACGTACTGTCTAGTGTATTTGCAAGGATGCTTTGCATCGGTATCGCATGCATTTTATGTGAGAACAAAGTATGCCCCCCTGATTAGCATGTGGCCGATCCTTTTGGTGGTGCTTTGTGGGTTTGGGCAGCTAAACATCTGCTTCGGGGTGATGATCAACCTGAAGACACCGCCCTCCAGCCTGATTCATTTGCAATGCTGGCAACATGTTTAATCCGCTAAGCAGTCTCGCGGTTTCCCCAGCATTGGTAACCCAACGCGCCGAGAAAGCGGCAGTTGGCCCTAACTCGGAGCAGCTTTACGCCAGGGACCGCCTTCGTGTTGGGCCGGGAGAACGACGGCATCCCTTCCGATGCCGAGGAGCTTCTTGATGAGGACGGCAGGGGCGTATGTTTCAGTGGCACGACCCGGGTTTGAACAGCTGAAAGATATGCAGATAGATTTCTCCGTGCAAGTCGTGGAAAGCCAACAGCACCTCTTCTGCTTTCCAGCCAAGAGCAGCCTTTGGAGGACATGTTTGCGGCCTTTCAAGGCCGTCACTTCTTGGACCTTTGCTGAGTCTAGTTGGCAACAGATGTGCCTCCCTAGTCCCCAGCCCCCCTCAAGCATAGACAGCATAGACTGTAGAATGCTACCCTGAAGCCCAAGTGAACATCCCAATCCCCACTAAAATAGGTTCTACAATGGGTGGACCATTGGTTTTGACCCACAGCCAACTGACTTTCTTCTGAAGCCGATCGACCCACCGGACAGCCAACAAAAAAGCAACCCCCGCGCCCGCGCCAAGCGAGAAGCATTGCCGCAGCATAGCCAGGCCCTCACCATCCCCATGGAGGTCTCCGGTGAGGAGGCGAGGGGTTTCCGAGGATCACGACGTGCTGGTGGCGCTGTCCAGGTGTTTGTTACCGGTGTTCACCAATTTGCGGTGTGGTAGCTCCGGACTGAACACGGTGGACCAATATAATGCGAACGCCCCCCGCCCCCGAACAAACACTGCAAGAACTGAAGGGGCGTGAAAACTGAAGGCGCGGTCTGTGAAGACCGTCAAATCAAGGCCAGATTCTTCATTTTGAGAAGCAAACAAATGCTAACTTTTCTTACCCAACAGCATGCGGTGCTCTTTTGTAGTGCTCGCACCACTGGAACCCTGGTGGAACCCTGGCGCAACGCTCGTGGAACCCTCGTGGAACCCTCGTGGAACCCTCGTGGAACCTTACCTCAGGGCCGCCCCGGACCACCCCGGAGCCTATCTGGGCGGTTTGACCCCAAAGCTTTCAGCTGTTGGGGAATAACGAGACCATTTTTGTTTGACTGTTTGACTGTTTGCTTGCCTTTGCGCTGCTTTCCGTTGCCTGCTTTGCCTTAGCGTTGCCCTCCATTGCCTTGAATTGCCTTGCCTAGCCTTACATTTTCTCGCGTCGCCTTGTAGCGTTTGGCCAGCTTGATCAGCAAGAAATGGATTGGTTGACAGGTGGATGGATTGACACTTGGACACTTGGATTGATGCTTTGACAGGTCTGCGAGCAAACTGACAAGACCACCGGCTGGTGGGTTCACGGACTGACCTGAACTGCCTGGCTTGTTGGTTTGTGAAGTTGCAAGCTTGGCGCCCCGCTTGCTTGCTTGCTTTGCTTTGCTTTGCTTTGCTTTGCTTTGCTTGCTCGCTCGCTCGCTCGGTCGGTCGGTCGGTCGGTTGGTGGCTTGCTTGCTTGCTTGCTTGCTTGGTTTCTTGCATTCGTGCAGCGTGGGTCAGTATGTATGTCTGTTTGTCGGTCTTCCAAGTTTTGGTTTTTTAGTGCACTTTGGGCGACTTGAAGCAGTTGCGGGCTTGTCAGAAGCCATTGGCAGGGCAGCCTGAACGTCTCGCACGCTGCGGCAGTATTGCTCTATGAGCGGCAGCGACAGTTGGAGGGTGAACAAGAGTTCAGTTGGCACGCTTCTTGCACCTAGTGACTTTTTGTTTTTGTTTCTCCGTTTAAAGGGAAACCACCCCCAAAAATGAGACTCCTCGAGATGTTCACTTGACTGGACCCAGCACCGCACCGGTCACAGGTTGGAAGCCCTCCGCCTGCGCAAAGTATCGGCTAATGTGAGGGTACAGGCTCACATGAAGGATTTTTGCCTGGGAAATTCCCTTTTTGCAATGGACCTTTGCTCGGGGATTCCTCGGGAAAAATATGAATTATGGTGAAGATAGCCTGCATGCGCGCTGCACCCGCTCGGCGAGCTGCAGCGGCTTTTATGGCTCAGAGTTGGGATGATGTTTGGTTTTTGTGGCAGGACCCACTTGGATTCGCCCTCTCAAGCAATCACTGCACACACAAACAAACGCAGTCCACAAAGCTTCCTCCTGCCTACGTGTACTGAACACAGATGCTTCACCAATAAACCCAGCCGCTAGGCACTGCATTAGTCGGGCAAGGCGTTATGGCTCCGAAGAAGAAGGCAGCGGCTGAGCCGAAAGGCCAGACCCTGCAGATCCCGCGCATCCCGGTGTCTCCTTTTTGGGCAAAAGCAAGTGAATGAACGCAACCGGCCCTATGGTCTAGCCAATGTTACCCTCCCTTTTTCGCTGGGATGCTTTGAGAGGAAAGCACGGACAATGCTGACAGCCCTTTTCAGTTCTGGACACGTTGCTTTCCCAGAAGGCTCCGTGCTTGATGGGTCTATCCCAGCATTCGTACTGTTGTTTGCCGTGCCGCAGTGGATGCCTGTTTACTTTCAAAGGCGGAATGCTACAAGAGCAGTTGCTTTTAACTGTGTTTTGCCGATGCCCGTTTTGGCGCTTCCTGAACATCTACAGGTGATGGGCATGATGACGCATGTTGCCTGATGTGATGCAGTCTTCTCCCATAGTATAGCCCAAGAAATATCCTGGTTTTCTTTTGCTTTCCCTGCAACAGCCTGCAAAAGGGGGACATAAGCGACTCCAGAGGGGGATTGGAAAGCGCAAGGACTTCCCCCAGAGAGTGACATTGAATCAAGGGTATCCTCGAGATTCCTCATTTATTGCATTGGATTTTGGAGCTAAAAGAAAGCCGAGTGACACTCCATTGGATTCCGCGGGATTCCCGCAGCAGCAAAGCACCGGAGATTTCACTGGACATGGAATGATGCTTTCACTTCAGAGGGTGTTCAAGTTCGGAATAGGAAACCGATGGGGCACCCGGCGCTTGGAGCATCTTGGGCCTCGACTGAAGCGCGAGGCTCGCCGCTGAAGAAGCTGAAGAAGGGCGCGGCTGTGTGGGAGTGGAAGGACCTACAGCTCCGTGTCGGCTGCGCTCAAGTGAACAAGGGTTTCCTCTGGCCAGCGCCTCACCGGCTACAAACAGATGGGGCTGTGTCCGAGTCGACTTCCTTTTGGTTTCGTTTGGGGGACGGTTTGATGTTTTGACGCATTTCCCCGCGGAAGGTATGCTTGGACCGCCACGTGTGCCAATCCAAATGTGCCGATCCGGGGTTTGCCGCGGTGCCGTTTCCATGCAACAAGGCCGTGGCGCTTCCGGAAGTTGCACAGTAACGCCACGCAGGATGGAACCTCCTGGAAGGCCTACCTGGACGAGGAGATGCAGCGACAAGAGCAGTTGAGAGGATGTGGAGCCTTGGAACAAAGTCCAGTTTCTCTCTTGAGACTCCGAAACAGCAGTTGCGCAATTCAAATAGCCCAACAGCGGAAGACGCTTTCACAAAGCATCGGGGCTTGCATGCCTTTTGGAGTCCCGCAGCCGTGGTCGACACTGCGAGGCAGATGTGTTTTTGACGGCCACAAGTACCTGAACGGTTGCTCTTCAGGGTGGTTATACTCCCAGCCAAGAATCACTTCAAGATGGAAGGTATTTGTGAGGGATAGATGTGGCTGGGTAAATGGAAAGGTGAAAGAACTATGAGATAGGCGGTTGACTTCTTCCCCACTTAGCATTCTCATTTCCCCTTATCATTCCTTGCATGTCATTGTTGTGTTTCGTATCCCTTGCATCTTTCGACAGATCGTTGGGTCGAGCCTTGTGCTTCGCCTTCGGGAAGCGTTGGGGTCGGTCAGGTGGAGATGTTGCAGGTGTATTTGTGTCCGCAAACAAAGCGATCCTTTTCCTAGGTCCCCCAGTAGTGCCCTTGTACCCTTTTTTGGGGGAGGGTTCCCCTACTAAAATCGACTACAGAAAAAGGGGCACCCAAATTCTAACCTCTACTGGAGGATTTTCGTCTTGGGCAATTCGCTCATCACCTAGCTCTCCTCCTCTTTGCGGTTGCGCTGCGCAAGCCTGGGGTCGCGCCACGTTTCGAACCGTTCTCCATACCCAAGCCGCAAAAAGTGAGTCTGCAGGACTGCCAGATGCCAGGTGCCTCAGAGCATTTGCTGTGAACCATCGGTTTCTTGCCGTCAAACATTTCGTCGCATTCTGAAGAAGGTGTAGTCGTGGAACTTATGTACAAGCCCTACTGAACCGCAGGCATTGATTGAGTGAAGTAAGGCACGGGATGCCCACCAATTTACTTGGCCAGTGCTTTGGCGCTGCAGAGGATCACCAAGTCAGAACTCCAGATTGAAAGCGAGTGTTCTTTGCCTTGTGAGGGATAATTGCGCAATTGGCTACATCGCGAGATCTCCCGTATGAATTGCTACATGCAACATGCACACGGACCCGCACTTTCCAATCTAGCTTCAAACCAGCAGATTCAAAGAGACGACCACACAGCCGTTTGGTGGATTCAGAGAGCTGGCGGGCACCCAGACACCAGATGCCTGGCGGTTTGTTTTCTGGATTCCGACTCGAAGGTGCATCCAATTTCCATCGGCACAGTCAGGGTGTGATTGATGTTGTTTATGGAGCCAGGGCTGGCTGCCAGCAATTGATTTCGGATACCCTCCCACCAATTAACATAGAACCTGACCGGGGGTCCTGGTTTGGACCATTTTCCTTGTGAAGGGAGTCCTGAACATCAGGTTCCATGTCAATTGGTGGGGTAGCCAATGTGGTGGAGAGAGTTCACATGTCAAGGTTGGACCACCTCTTTGCCGCGGCGGGCGAGAAGGGCAAGGCATCGGAGTGGATCTGATTCCTCACTTCCTGAGTTGCTACCTGGATCCCCAAGTAGCCATTTTTTCCAGCCACTTTACCCGCTGGGGTAGACTATACTTTGCGGGAAGACCAAATTTAGTGGTAAACAGAAAGTTCATAAGTTTTTTAAGCTATTCGAATCTCAGGATGTGAGGTTCGGCTACAAACCAGCGTGGAGGTGTTTGATCAGCGTGGCACTGGCTTCGTCGCTTCGGCCTTTTCGGTAGTCATTGTGGAGCAATTGCCTATTTATGCTATTGATGGTGGGCCCCAGCAGGCATTAAGCCACAAAGGAAGAAAGAGCGCCCTGCTTGGGTTGACATAAGATATCTGAAAGTTGGGAAGCAATCGTGCGTTAAAGTTTGGCAAAGCTACTGTACATTCACCCATGAGGCCTGTCCCATTTTTCCCCTTGTTGAAATCCGTCAGTTTATGACACGCACACACTCTTCTCAAGCCTGCAACTGAAAGCCTTATCCGATTGATTCTTCCTTAAGATGTTGACGCCAGAAACGGCATCTTGGCCGCGACGTGTGCAGGATGTCATGGGCCACTGCTTACACAAGTGTGGCTGAGCATATCGTGCAAACCGTCAGAGAAGCCTTCGTAACACCGCTCTGTTGAAACTACGACCTGGCGGCCCCCAGCCCAAACATCATTGTTTTCCGGTTCTGTTCCGGAAAACAGCAACCCTTCAACGTTCGGGTCACTCACAGATGCCAAAGAGAGAGCGTTGAAGTCTTGTATGATTGCACCCTGAAAAAGGGGAACTACAGCATGTAAGTCGTTTTGGTGTGAGTTGTGGCTGTGTGAGTGTGTGCAGGGGGCGTGTTGTCCGATGGTTTGCCGTGGATACATTTGATACGGTGTGTTCAACCATCAACGACAACCAGAGCCAAAAAGGTTTGCCCAATACCATGCCAAGTCCCATTGAGGAACCCTGCAGGCACGACTCTGTCGTCTTCGCCTGAAGCATTTTCACAGACCACGCTTGGTTTTCCCAGCATTTGCAAGCAGAAGTCCTATGGTATTATGGTTGTCAAGGGCCCCCAAATAGGCCCCCCCCCCCCAATCCCAACATAAGCTAATGGTGACTAGTAGGGTCTATTAGGGGGGGGCGTCTCCTCTTTGCCTTGGAAGGTGGTCACTACAGACTTCTCCTTCAACAAGGAGTTTCAGACGAAGTACGAGCTGAACTTCTCCAAGATGAGCCAGCCGGGATCACTCAGACACTTTTTTTATTTTCTCCCTCGAGGAAAAACACGCAACTCCAAGGGTCGAGTTGAAACTGCTGTCAATGGCCCGTTTAGCGGCAGAAAGGCACCAGATGCTGCACTTGATCTACCCCAAGCCTGCCTACATTGAAGTGTTTGGTCTAGATAGTTTTTTTTTTGCTTGGTGCAAGCAGGGTCCCAGACATGATGCTACTACTGCCAGGGCCGGGATATCCTCTGCAGCCGCTACATGAGCCCCAGCAAGGTCTCCATTTTGGGTTGAACCGTTGCTAGCAGCTGCCAACAGGGCTCGAGGTGTGGGTCCCAGCCCGCGCAAATCCGGTCGATTCACGTGGAGTCAAAAGGCTCACGACAGGTCTCGATCAACCGGTCTTATCGAGGACTTCCATCAGCTTGATATGAGGGAGTCGCTGTTCGGCATGTCGTTTGGGAGTGGATTTTCTTGATCAATGATGGTGGACAGCTCATGTTTGTCTGCTTTTCTTTTTATCCTAGGACCAACCTGGACAGCAAGAAGTCTCGCACCATCCGGCGGAAAGGCTGGGAGCATCGGAGCGGGTGGTTGAAGTCTTTGAAGTTGATGAACGTGGGTGGATTGTGTCAGGCAGGCCAAGTTCATGCAGAGTGCTAAGCCATGCTGCAAACATGTCGGCCATTTGTGAATCTTTCGAGAACGGCAAAGACCTCCCGCAATAAGTTTCGAGAACGGATCATTTCAGATTCGAATTTGCTTTAATACATCTGCAACCTGGCGGCAGTACCTACATTACGGCGTGAGTATTTTTTGGAGGCAAAGATTGTAGGAACTTTGTTTGATTCAGTGTGTTGGCGTTTGGTGATGTTTTTCATGCCACGAAAGTGAGCTAGATGGTTCAGGTTCAAAGTTTGGGCTGGCCGCTGCCCAAACGGGCCGCTGAGCAAACGCCAGGTATCTCGCCTGTGGTTTGTTGCAATCCAATTTACAGCAAGGTGCTTGCTGTCAACACAAGATGGAAGGACTACAATCTTAGCCAGAGTTTCACTCCTTCATTCTGGGCCAATTTACATACCCCAATTGAACATACCGCACCAATAGGCCTTAGATAGGGATGGATTTGGGGTATGTACCCTGTATGATCAATGTAGAACCACCCATTGTGTGAGATATATCCATTTTGGCTGAGCAAGTTGGCCCTTAGATTCCTCGCTTAAGGCAAGAAGCTCCTCGCAGGCTTGTATTTCAAGCGGGGAGCATGTAAGATGACAGCGAGGGGAAAGTGCAAGACGACATTCACCATGAAGGCACTCATGCTTGCTACCTGCGAGCTTGTCGGGCAGTGAGTGTCTCCACTGTTCGCAGTATTTCTGGTCTTGAACCAGTCTGCTGGACCAGCTGGACCAGTTGTACCTGTTCATATACTCCACACCTTGGAGGTGTGCGCAGGGTGCACAGGGCTGAGAAGCTACCCGTAACGCCAGGCCACCTGGCAACCCATCCAGAACTTCCGCGGGAATGAGGTAGCTCCGTCAATTGGATGCAGCCCCTCGCGCGTTGTAAATTCTGGTGTTTCAGGATCCAGCAAGCCTTGCGACTTGAGCGCTTGCGACTTGAAGGGCCGCCGCATGGCTGTTTTCGACGCAATTGCCAATCCACACCCGACGAGCAACGCGTGCTCTGGCGCGCGACGCAGATGCCTTCTCTTCTGGAATCGTCCTAGGCTTGGCACTCGAAAGCTGTTGGCATGGGACGACCTCCAGCGCAAGGTCTGTGCCCCAGAGATTTTGCGAGCTGCTCCACATTTCAAGCTGGGAGTTTGCCACAGTGCTGCACGCGTCGAGAGGTGGAGATGAGCCGCTGAAAACGGTTTTGGCCACGCAATGCAAAGGTTCCTGCAAAGGGAATCACTATTGTGGATGCGCAACATCCTGCGCTGGTAGGTGCTTTAGACGCATCCCAACTGCGGGTGTTGTCCACATGCGCCCCAAAGACACTGGCCGATTTTCTGGTGTGTCCGGCCACCCCTTGGACGTGAGTAGCTGGCTCATAGCCCTGCACGCATCACCTAGGCCAGGGTCTGAGGGCTTTTGTAGTACAACTTGGGATTACATTTTTGGGAAATGACCCGAATTGATTCAACAAAACACGGTTTTGTCCGCACATGTGCCTAAATGGGGTCAATACCCAGTGGGTGTATTCCCAGGGTGCAATACAAAAGAACCCTTACAGGGTCAATTCTACCAGGACGATTCACCGTCCGATTGGGGTGCTCAGCGGCAGGTGAAGCCCCAGCCGTGGTGAAGAAAGCGGCCTGGGCCCCAGGCCCCGAGCTTCCGAGCCTCCGAGCGGACGGCGCTGGGTGGCAGTGGCTGTTTGCTTTTTCTGCTCCTTTCCATGGAGGGAAAACGAGCGCCCACTTGATCGCCCTCCGGTTGAAGAGTAGGAACCTTGGATTTGGGCTCGCACCAGGGTTGATCTACCCACACCGCTGTGATATGCTTTGATCTCCATGTACTGTGCTCTGGGTTTTGTCCCTTTCATTTCGAGGTCTGGGAGTGGTGGTCGGACGAGAATGAGTGGGAACCTTTTGCCGACGTGGACGGCCAAACCTTGGAGAAGGTGCGGAAGCCTTGATCAAGTTGGACCAGTCGGTCTGGGTTCGGATGCAGGGTGGCAAGTTCAGCATTCGTTTCGTTTTGACATGCTTAGGGAGATATGACCTTGCAGAGGGCCAGCCTTGCGGCTATTTACATATCGCTTCTTGTTCTTTGCTCAATATACTCAACCTGTAAGAAGGACAGGGATGATATCACTATGCACAATGCAACCAACTGGGGCTGAGGAGGATGTTGGGGCATGACTGCTCGGTAGCTTGCTGTCGCTGTACGATTTCTTTCGCCGCTGCCTGTGCTGCATGGATGACACGGGCAATGCTGCGAGAGACTTTCCCTGCATTCGAGGGAAGCTCATGTACTTGTTGTTAAAGTTTCTTCTTCTGTCTTGGTTGACTGTCTCAAGTGTCGCTGTTTCTGGTTGTGTCTTCATGTTTCTGATTTGTTTCTGCATCTTTCTGGGATTATTGTCTCAAGCGTCGCTGTTTCTTCTTTTTTTCTGCATATTTCTGGGTTCATTGAATTATTGTCTCAAGCGTCAGTGTTTCTGCTTTGTTTGTTTATATGTCTGGGTTTACTGTCTCAAGCGTCGCTGTTTCTGCTTTGCTTCCCTATACTTCTGCGTTTGTTGTCTCAAGCGTGGCTGTTTCTTCTTTGTTTCTGTATAGTTCTGGGTATTTTTCTGGGTTGACTGTCTGAAGCGTCGTTGTTTCTGCTTTGTTTCTTCATATTTCTGGGTTGACTGTCCCAAGCGTGGCTGTTTCTGCTTTGTTTCTTCATATTTCTGGGTTTATTGTCTCAAGCGTCGCTGCTTCTGCTTTGTTTCTTCATATTTCTGGGTTGACTGTCTGAAGCGTCGCTGCTTCGCTTTGTTTCTTCATATTTCTGGGTTGACTGTCTCAAGCGTCGCTTTTTCTGCTTTGTTTCTTCATATTTCTGGGTTGACTGTCTCAAGCGTCGCTGTTTCTGCTTTGTAGCGACGCTTCAGACAGTCAACCCAAAAATATGAAGAAACAAAGCAGATACAGCGACGCTTGGGACAGTCAACCCAGAAATATGAAGAAACAAAGCAGAACGGCGACGCTTCAGCCAGTCAACCCAGCAATATGAAGAAACAAAGCAGAAACAGACACGCGTAAGACAGTCAACCCAGAAATATGAAGAAACAAAGCAGAAACAGCGACGCTTGAGACAGTCAACCCAGAAAATGAAGAAACAAAGCAGATAAAGCGACACTTGAGACAGTCAACCCACAAAAATGAAGAAACAAAGCAGAAAAAGCGACGCTTCAGACAGTCAACCCAGAAATATGAAGAAACAAGCAGATACAGCGACGCTTGAGACAGTCCATCAAGAAATATGAAGAAACAAAGCGAAGCAGCGACGCTTCAGACAGTCAACCCAGAAATATGAAGAAACAAAGCAGAAACAGCGACGCTTGAGGCAATAAACCCAGAAATATAATGAACAAGCGTCGCTGTTTCTTCTTTGTTTCTGCATATTTCTGGGTTCATTGAATTATTGTCTCAAGCGTCAGTACTTCTGCTTTGTTTGCTTATATGTCTGGGTTCACTGTCTCAAGCGTCGCTGTTTCTGCTTTGTTTCTTCATATTTCTGGGTTGACTGTCTCAAGCGTCGCTGTTTCTGCTTTGTTTCTTCATATTTCTGGGTTGACTGTCTCAAGCGTCGCTGTTTCTGCTTTGTTTCTTCATATTTCTGGGTTGACTGTCTCAAGCGTGGCTGTTTCTGCTTTGTTTCTGAAAATTTCTGGGTTTATGGTCTCAAGCGTCGCTCTTTCTCCTTTGTTTATTCATATTTCTGGGTTGACTGTCTCAAGCGTCGCTGTTTCTGCTTTGTTTCTTCACATTTCTGGGTTGACTGTCTCAAGCGTCGCTGTTCTGCTTTGTTTCTTCATATTTCTGGGTTGACTGTCTCAAGCGTCGCTGTTCTGCTTTGTTTCTTCATATTTCTGGGTTGACTGTCTTACGCGTGTCTGTTTCTGCTTTGTTTCTTCATATTGCTGGGTTGACTGGCTGAAGCGTCGCCGTTCTGCTTTGTTTCTTCATATTTCTGGGTTGACTGTCCCAAGCGTGGCTGTTTCTGCTTTGTTTCTGTATATTTCTGGGTTGACTGTCTCAAGCGTCGCTGTTCTGCTTTGTTTCTTCATATTTCTGGGTTGACTGTCTCAAGCGTCGCTGTTTCTGCTTTGTTTCTTTATATTTCTGGGTTTATTGCCTCAAGCGTCGCTGTTTCTGCTTTGTTTCCTCATATTGCTGGGTTGACTGTCTCAAGCGTCGCTGTTTCTGCTTTGTTTCTTCATTTTTCTGGGTTGACTGTCTCAAGCGTCGCTGTTTCTGCTTTGTTTCTTCATATTTATGGGTTGACTGTCTCAAGCGTCGCTGTTCTGCTTTGTTTCTTCATATTTCTGGGTTGACTGTCTCAAGCGTCGCTGTTTCTGCTTTGTTTCTTCATATTTCTGGGTTGACTGGCTGAAGCGTCGCCGTTCTGCTTTGTTTCTTGATATTTCTGGGTTGACTGTCTCAAGCGTCGCTGCTTCTGCTTTGTTTCTTCATATTTCTGGGTTGACTGTCTGAAGCGTCGCTGTTTCGCTTTGTTTCTTCATATTTCTGGGTTGACTGTCTCAAGCGTGGCTGTTTCTGCTTTGTTTCTGTATATTTCTGGGTTGACTGTCTCAAGCGTCGCTGTTTCTGCTTTGTTTCTTCATATTTCTGGGTTGACTGTCTCAAGCGTCGCTGCTTCTGCTTTGTTTCTTCATATTTCTGGGTTGACTGTCTCAAGCGTCGCTGTTCTGCTTTGTTTCTTCATATTTCTGGGTTGACTGTCTGAAGCGTCGCTTTTTCTGCTTTGTTTCTTCATATTTCTGGGTTGACTGTCTCAAGCGTGGCTGTTTCTGCTTTGTTTCTTCATATTTCTGGGTTGACTGTCTCAAGCGTCGCTGTTCTGCTTTGTTTCTTCATATTTCTGGGTTGACTGTCTTACGCGTGTCTGTTTCTGCTTTGTTTCTTCATATTTCTGGGTTGACTGTCTCAAGCGTCGCTGTTCTGCTTTGTTTCTTCATATTTCTGGGTTGACTGTCTCAAGCGTGGCTGTTTCTGCTTAGTTTCTTCATATTTCTGGGTTGACTGTCTCAAGCGTCGCTGTTCTGCTTGGTTTCTTCATATTTCTGGGTTTACTGTCTCAAGCGTCGCTGTTCTGCTTTGTTTCTTCATATTGCTGGGTTGACTGTCTCAAGCGTGGCTGTTTCTGCTTTGTTTCTTCATATTTATGGGTTGACTGTCTCAAGCGTCGCTGTTTCTGCTTTGTTTCTTCATATTTCTGGGTTGCCTGTCTCAAGCGTCGCTGTTTCTGCTTTGTTTCTTCATATTTCTGGGTTGACTGTCTCAAGCGTCGCTGTTCTGCTTTGTTTTTTCATATTTCTGGGTTGACTGTCTCAAGCGTCGCTGTTTCTGCTTTGTTTCTTCATATTTCTGGGTTGACTGTCTCAAGCGTGGCTGTTTCTGCTTTGTTTCTTCATATTTCTGGGTTGCCTGTCTCAAGCGTCGCTGTTTCTGCTTTGTTTCTTCATATTTCTGGGTTGACTGTCTCAAGCGTCGCCGTTCTGCTTTGTTTCTTCAAATTTCTGGGTTGACTGTCTCAAGCGTCGCTGTTTCTGCTTTGTTTCTTCATATTTCTGGGTTGACTGTCTCAAGCGTGGCTGTTCTGCTTTGTTTCTTCATATTTCTGGGTTTACTGTCTCAAGCGTCGCTGTTCTGCTTTGTTTCTTCATATTGCTGGGTTGACTGTCTGAAGCGTCGCCGTTCTGCTTTGTTTCTTCATATTTCTGGGTTGACTGTCTCAAGCGTCGCTGTTTCTGCTTCGTTTCTTGATATTTCTTGTTTGACTGTCTCAAGTGTCACTGTTTCTGGCCATACCCCTTTCTTTTTACGGGCTGCTTGGTGCGTTTTGCGAGGCCTACGTAGCGGGCGAGACGCCTTTTAGCACCAAGAAGCTCAGCCGGAGCCCCGCGAGCGCAACCTCATGTCTCATGGCCAAGGTCCTCCCGATTCGCTTCCGGAGCCGATTTGGGCTGGTAAAGTCCGGCAGAACCGGGCGGACGTTTCAAAGATATTTGAACTATGGTTTGGAGCCCGTTTTTTTCTTTTTCTGTTTTCCCCCCTTTTTTTTCTTCCTTTTTTCAGTACACCTAAGAGAGGCCAGCTCAATTTGTTCCAATACTGCGAAGGTTCTTGTCAAGCTTCGTAGATTGACTGGAACAGGCTTCGCAGATTGACTGGAACAGGAAGATGTTCAGGGCATGTACCTTCTTTGTGATTTGAGAGCTGGGAGATTGCGTCTTGCACCTCGGATTCAGTGGCACTGTGGTTTAGACCCCAGTCGCCATCTACTTTGCGCACTTCAAAACACAGTGGAGGCCGTATGAGGTCAGAACTGGTAGTTGGCCGATGCCATGGCCAGAACCCTTTCTGCACCGGAGGCTGACTGGCAATGTCGAACGCCCGCCCGCACGCCTGCCCGCCCACGAACGGACCCACCGCACGCACGCACGCGCATGCTCAGGGCTTACGTGCACGCGCAAGCGCACGCACGCATGCACGCACCCACCGGGAGTTTCAGTTTTTGGTAGGTTCGACTTGCAAGCACAGTGGTCCATTCCACCGTGGCATGCCACTCCACTTGATCATGCCACCTACACCATTTAAAGGACTACTGCGCCCTCTGCAGAAGATACTTGTAAGCCAGCAAAGACAGCGAAAGCCAGGCCTGACAAACAGCCACATCGCCTGGACCACTTCACATGACGCGCCCGTGTTTATCTTCTGCCCCAGGCTGGAATGAAGGCTATGACAGCCTCTACATCTTCGACTTCACAGTCATGACGCAGGCGCGACACACTGCAACGACCGAATTATAGGCCGAAGGGCTCCCTGTTAAGCATCAACGCACACCTGGCTTTTATCTAGGTCATGCTTAGTGAAGATTTGAGTCACATTCGCCTGAATGCTCTGTTTGTCCAACTGGGCAACGGCCCGGGTCAACATGAAATTCTATCACAGCCAGTGGGATTCCTGGCGCCCTGGCAGCCACATGACACCTAGGATCTAGGTCCATGGGTCGGCACAGGGGTTGGTGCATATCGGCATCTCCCACCAGGTACAACAAGACATGGCGAGGCCAGTGATGTTGACACTGTCTCCTTGACTTGAGGCCGTCCTCGCCACCTTGTGGGGGCGGTGGATTCTTCCGGGTTGAACTTCTCCCATCCGCGAAACATGGAACCTGACGGGTCCTGGAAGACTCTGTTCCTCTAGGAAGTTTCTGGGTTTCATTTCAGCGGACAGTTCGGAAGGGAGCCGGCAGGTGAACTGTGACAGCAAGACCTCGCGCAAGATCCAGCCCGCCGGCCCGATCTGGACACATCACGAGCTTGTTCGCCCGGGGGTAACGCGAGATAAGACAACCTGGAGCATTTGATAAAACAAGCAGGGCCATGAAGGTTCCTTGGCCGGGCGCGTTTTGTGATTTTCGATTTGGGTACAGTTTACCCTGAATTTCAGTTTGCTCAAGCATTGGTGAAGCCCAACTCAGCACCTGTGAGAAGCATCGTGTGGAACTGCGGCTGTGAGAGTTTGTTATGATGTTTTTCAAATCACATGCAATAGTAAAGAACGGGGTAAGCTGAACTGTAGGAGGAGGCCAGCTGGAAAATACCAGGTGCAGCACTGGACACGAAGTCAGGCTGCTTCGACTTACCCCGCTTTCGTTGATTCTCGGTGTTCATGTGCTGGAAATCCAGGAATCTTAGTACAGTTCTCAAAATGGCCAGGCCCTCATCGAACCACGTCTTATGCTGGTGCCAGTATTGCCCGCTGGACGGCGGTGTCTGGCAAGTCCAGAAATGAAAGCAGGGGATTGTATTTGGTTTCTGCCACAGGAACGTGGGTTGAGGTCATATGTTTTGGCCTTGAACAGGGGGATTTTCAACAAGAGATGTCTTTATACGCTTTAAAAGGCGGCACAAGGCGGCACCAAGGTCCGTCTTTTTGACAGCCCAGGTTGATTTGAACAACCTTGTTCCGGCCCACCGGAGTCTTCTCAAGGCAGATGCAACCCGAATATACGGAGACCACGAAGCCGAGAAGAAACACAAGTTCTCATTGCACACGCACCGTGATACTCACCTGAGCAAATTAGATTCTCGAACATAGCCATGCTCTACATGAAAAATATGTCATCCTCTTTGCCGCAAGGAGCTTCAATCATATGTCAATTCCGTTTGTTCCAAGAAGCAGTCTGCAGCGCGACAGCCATTTCACGCTTTGATCTGGCTTTCCGAGTTCCAGATCGACTTGACTCAGCTGAACCCCACGTTCTCTCTCCCCTATAGCCGATGTGACCAGTAGCATTGGTTCTGGGTTGTCGCAATGTGGACATGGCCATCTTTTTGGTATTTTTCTTAAGTTGTGCCAATCTTGGTATCCCCTTCTTCCACTCCCCCCACCTTCATCCCACCGACTTAGATCTCCCAGAGGCGAAAAAAAAAGCCGACCTCGGATCCCGAGGCGCACCGCGGCAGGCGGCTCCAAGGTCTTCGGGCACACCGAAGGACAGCATCGACCGCGCGTCGGATCGATCTCGTGGGGACGAAATTGGTGAAACCGGATGGTTGCGAAATCCAGGTCGCACCAGGAAATGAAACCGTGGTTGAAACCAGGCGGTTTGGTATTTACAGGGGAATCATCATTCCAGGGATTTGATGGGTGGTGCAGGATTTCGTCCATCCAAGGTATCACTCGGAGTGCGGAAAGCTTCTTCATGTTTCTCCGCTGCTGCACTGGCTGGATGGATGACCAAATCAGTCCAGGTTTATGCGAATCAAAGAGTTTTTCCTCCCTATCTTGTTGTCGCTTTGCGTTCGTTCGAACCGGAAGATTCGCTTGGGCAGAGCCAGATCCTATCAAGCACGCTTGCAGCGTCTCAACCAAACCAGACTTTTCTAGCTCCAAAGGCATTTGGGAAGCTTCATTTCGCAGCCGATGGCGGCACCAGAGAGGAGAGGATGACGGCTACGCTGGCGCCTTTGGCTTTCTGTCCGACAAGGCTGGCGACAGCACGGTGATGTTTGCCGGCAAGCGCGGGCGCCCATGACTGGGTGGGGGGAATGACAGGGGCTTTGCTCTCTGCGCTGCGCTTTTGGCGCTTTCTAAAGAGATCTGTTTGGCGTGGGAAGTTTGTCAGGCTTTTGTCAGCTTGATGCTTGGTGTCATGTCAGGGCAATGGCAAAGTCTTTGTTCGCCAACCGAGAGTCGTTTGTTTGCGTTTCAGAGCATGGTAGTGCGAAGACGCAACAACGCAGAGCGCAGTTCAGAAGAGCTGACACTCACGTAAATCGATGGACATGATTACAGGAAGCACACGCGAACAAAGCTAATTCCAATATGATGTTTGTTGCTATGTATCATTTTACGTTTTACCAGTGACTCCAAGTGAAGCAAGCAATCAGATATACATTCTATAAGTAGGCCTAACTCAAATCATGATAGGTATACATATATATATATATATATGTATATATATATATATATGTATGTATATATATATATATATTCAAAGCAAACTTGTATGTATATGTGTGTAGGTCTATATTATGTACGTAGGTCTCTCTCTCTCTCTCTCTCTCTCTCTCTTTACCTATACCTACAAAGCAAGCTGAGAGTGCCCGCGATGTTCGAGAGGAAGTCAGTCCTCTGATCGGGGCTCCGAGGTTCGAGCCCAGCCTCCCGCCCGCCGTGGTGGCGCAGCAGAAGAAGCTGGGGGCGCAATCCCTTCGGAAGAGGAAGAAGGCGCTTCGAAAAGCGCGGGGGGCCGGCGCCAGAAAACTCTTGGTGGCTGATAAAAGCCATTCGGTTCGAACAGCTTTTGGGTGTTGTTGGTCGGATTTTGTGGTGGGCCGGCGCTGGGAGACTTGGGTATGGGTCAAAATTTAACCACCTGGAATTGGACCGACTTGGGTATGGGTCAAAAGGTCAAATTGAAAGCACCTGGAATTCGACCGCAGGTTTTAGTCCTTGGTTCAGTTTTTACCAGTGCAACCCGTTTAGGGCACCTGTTTTTGACCCACAGCCGCTTGGTGGCTCGAAAAGCCATGCGGTTCGAACAGCTTTTTGGGCGCTTTTAGTTGGATTTTGTGGTAGCTTCCAAATTTAACCCACTAAAGGTAAACTTTTAGCAGATCTGAGGGCAGCCCAGAAAAATGATGAACTGCGCAATGGTGGAATGGAGCTGAGAACATGACGGAAAGTGCCTCACACCTTTGTGCCGGGCCGGAAATACAGCATTTCGATCTTTGTGCCGGGCCGGAAATACCGCATTTCGATCTGGAGGTTAACTCAGCATCCAGCTGCCCATGTTTGATTCTTGCACATGCGCCCTTTGCAATGCTCAGCTGACATTTGCATATGATGTGGACAAGGGCCCTGCTTGCCTTGAGTCTTTCGGCAGAGTGTGATGTAGAGGCATAACTGAATAATTCCTTGAACAAATACAGTCGACACAGATTCATGTTGGAAGACGGAGCCAGCCATCCTTTGCTGGCAGGAGTTTGAGTCGGGCTTTTTTGGTGACCTCAACAACGTAGCCACCGTGCGCCATTGCAGCTGCATATTGTCGCAGCTCAGTGCCATGTACCCATTTCCCCGGCTGTGGGACGAAGTTTCCTGCCGAGACAAACCGGCAAACTTGGGCGGCTCCCAGCTCGTGTCGGAAGGAGCGAGTTTATACTGCATAAGCAAAGTATTCTGCGTCGGAATTCTCACCCTCGAGCAGCTTTTAGAGGCGACGTGGCTCTCGCGTTGTTCGCTTCTCCCAGGATTATGGGCCCATTGTCTCCAAAGATGAGCACGGGAGGCTGAAGCCGGGATCGGCCGGTTTGCTCTTGAGTGAGCGGGTGCCTTGCTGCTGCGATGGGGAATGACCGTTCCGGGTGTTGGGAATGAACCGGAAGGGGACTCCCGTAAAGGAAACATCAAGGGATTGTTTGTAGGGGTCATGCCCTCATTCCCGGCTGAGAACCAGCAAGAGAAGGTGGGGTCCTATCCGCACTGGTCAACGGTATTGAGATGTTTTTGTTCTTTCAACTTTTCCGTCCTGGATGTCACATGGAGTAAGCGGAAAGGTTTGTGACGTGGTAGCAGCTACTGTTGCCTTGCCCTGCTCTGAATTGTTGCCAAACACATCTTTGCACAAACACAAATGTATAGATAGCTCCAAAAGTTGCTGAAGTCTAACGCTTGCCAAGTACCAGCTCGCACACATGCGCTTGTGTTGGCACGGTCTTGGGTCCGCCGGCGCGTTTTTGAACCCGGGGCTCTTTCAGAAGCCGAGATCAGCAGTGCCCACGCTTTGCTTCAGGAAATGCTTTGATGAGATGCTTCAGAACGAGAAGGAGTTCTGCGGGGAGTGGGTGGCACGGTGCTCAGGGCTGTGACCTGAGCGGGTTTTGAGAGGCGATGGCCATGTTACGGATGCCTCGCAGGGCACCCCCGCGGCTTTTCATGTGGGTATGGGTCAAAATTAAACCAGGAATTGGACCGCAGGTCGTCCAAGTTTCCATCTACCAGGGCAACCCATTTTGGGTACATATGTTTGACCCATAGCCATTTTTATACTGGCGATAGGTCTGACTACAAGCGATAGGATCAGACGTATAGATTAGATGCTGAATTTTCGAGGGTTTCTTTGAAGAAACACGGAAATGGGCTGGCTCAACAGGGGGGAGTCTTCAACTCGACAATGTATGCAACCCCGTACCAAGTTGGAATCGCAAGCAGGCAAGAACCAACTCCACTTATCTCAGTTCTTTGCCCCAAGTCGCTTCAAACCACAACCATGGGCGCACTACCTATGATCTCGTGGCATTGGTGGGTGGCGGTGTTGCATTTTAAGAGAGAGCCACCGGAAGTGGAAGGTACGGGCATGCCTTTGAATGCCACGTGCCAGGCCACCCACTGTTTGTTTGCCTGATGGTGCTGTTCCCAATTGAACCGCGGCAGACAACCTTTGCTAGCATCTGAGTGTGCCTGCGAGATGTGCCGCCGAGCTGCTGACTTGGTTTAAGCTTCTCAATAAGATTCACTACAGCTTGAACTGCCAAGAACTGTTACCATCCTTCATTGCTCTGGGGCCAACACTGAAGGGATTATTTGGGTGTTTCTCAAAATTTGGACCCCTCTAGGTGTTTGGTTTCCTGTTGGTTTCCCTTTAAAGCCGTCCAAAACGGGTTCCCCTAATTTGCGACAGATCCATTTCTACTCGGCCCGAGGCGTTCTACCACAGCTACTCCAGCGCAGTCCGCGCCCTGGGAGTTCGGGAGTAGTGGGGTCGGGTGGAAGGTGGGGTGGGACGGTGACTGATACCGATGCTTCGGGCGCTTCGGGCACGGATGGTTTTGCACAAAATGGCAAGGCTGATGGCTTGGAGTAGAGCTCTTGTTGAAAGCAGGCGAAAGCTGAAGGAGTGACTATGAGTTTGAAATGCGACCTTGCGCCCACGCAAACTTTTGAAGTTTGTCTCGGAGGCGGGTACCGCCAGGGTCTTCAACTGTTTAGTGCCTCGTTCCCGGAAACGGGGCCCCGATTAAACCGATTTCCTGGTAGCAATTGTCAGAGAGAGTAGGATTGTCTCAACAGAAGAAGTCTGCTCTTGTTTTGCATGAACAGCCGGTGGAAAGGTGAACGGTGGGTGCCGCATGTTTGGAGCACTTGCGAAGGCAGGAGGATATCCGTACTGTAGTAGGACTGTAGTGAAGATATTAGGGTGGCAAACCAACCAGAAAAGGCATTTTCTTGTCCCTTGCTGCTTGTCTCCAAACAGATCACAAGTTCTGCTTGCTCTCATCATTGCATTCCTTCCACTATCATTGCGTTTGAGGCGGTGATATTGGAGGCTCTAAACCAAAAGCCTGGCGCAGCTTGATTTGTCAGTCTTCAACGCCTGGCACACTTTTCGTCCTTTGTCACACGCAGAGCTCGAAGAGAGCTGCTGGTGAGTGAAAAAAACAGTTGCAAGACGGAGCGATCGCTCTAATTCTCAGGAGCTCTTTGGCAAACTTGTTGAACAACTTGAATTGCACCAACTCTCTGCACTTGCATCTTCAGTCAACTGAAGATTGAAGAGGTTCTTGGCGGAGATAACATGGTCTCACTTCCTGAGTTCATGAACTTCATACTTTTTTGGAAGACCATTTCAGTGGCAGACAACAAGTGTCCACGTTTTTTGGGCCATCCACTCGGGAAGTGACTGGTACTCTGTCAGCATGTGTTCAAAGACTGGCCTCGTGAGGCGCTGCTGTACGAGGTGCAAGCCGCTGTGGCCCGGGAGACCCAGACCGGTCGTTCGGGGTTGGCCTTCGTTTTTCTTCTGAAAGCTTAGGCGGTTCGGGGCATGGGAAAAGGGTTCCAGTTGCGAGTCGATATCTTGGGCTTGTTGTTTTGGAGGGAGTTTCCCTTTTGAATACAAGTCCAACCGACTGGTGCCCAAATCTTCTGGTGGGTTTGGCTCGTGCCAGGGTTCTGCCCGGCTATGGGCTCTGGGCTGTTTGAGGGTCCGTTGTGATTTGGGGTTGAACCTCCGAAACGCACACTTCAGTGCAGGGAATCAGCTACTCTGAAGTCATAAAGCACGTCCACATGAATTCAGCTTTTCAGATATTCTCCTTGTCCATGCAAGGAGTGTGATCCATGAGGTCACAGATGCCGGCTAAACACAAATGGGCCAGGTCCTGAGCCCCAATGGCACAAGCTTCCGGCCGTTCCTTCCAAGAAGCGCAGGGCCTTCCTTGTTCGCTTGCTGTCCATGTGTTCGGGTGCATTAGCCATGCGTCCTGGGGTAAACGCCACTCTTTTGAACGCAAAGAGAAAGTAGCTTTGGGTATGCTTTCCAGTTCGCCATTGTGTGAAGATTTTGGTGAGTTTCCCTTCAATTTAATTCGTGTGGTTTTCGGATTTACTACTGTAGCTGGTTGGAAAAGAGGAAAATAACTAAGGCGCTAGCAGAGCTGGTTTGGGACATTGCCAGAGAATTGGTTGGAAGAGGGCGAACGAGCTGGCGGAGTGGTTTGGGACATCACCAGAGCCCAGCTTCGGCTCGATTTCGGCTCCCGAGGCCTCAGTGCTCTTCCGCTTCAAGGCGGAGTTCGCGGCGCTGCCGCGGCTCTTGTGCCCGGGCCGCGGAATGGTCGGCGGAACGGTCGGCGGATGTCAGCGGAATGGGAACGCGGTGTGCCAAACACGTGGGACGGCGTTGGGGGAAGGGCCCGTTTCCGGACGTCCGTGTTTTTTTTCCCGGAGACGGGCTCTCGCGTGGGAATCTGGGGAGGGTTTGAGGGCACCTGTGCTGTGATCTGGTCGCCAAAGCAGGTCAAAAGAGCTCGCAGCGTTAGTCAGGGAAGGATACGCGAAACGAGGCCCGGCGAAAGCTTTCGCTCCCTTTGGACCTGCGATTGCGATTTTTTCGGTCTGAAGGCAAGCCCTTCCACCACATCCCCACGGCCAAGCGGATGCTGGAGGAGTTCCCCAAGTGGAAGGACCAGGACCACAACCAGGCCGGAGGCTTTGGGCATTGGCCGATGCGTTTTTTTTTCTTTCCGCAGGGGAAGTTGTTCCTTGGCATCTAGCCAAGGTAAAGTAGAGGCCGAGATGTGGGAAATCGTGTGTGCTGTTGGCGTTGGCGTTGCTACACCAAGTCAGGCAAAGCAGAGGTCGAAAAGTATGCAATCGTGTATGCTGTTGGCTACAGTGTACAGCCAACCGACCAGCATCTATGCTAAGAAGATCCTTCGCAATCGCAACGGCGTCGTTCCGCCAGTTTTGCCAAGTGGCGGAGGTTGTATGCTTGTCTTCAGCGGCGGTCGACTCTAAACTCTGGGCCATCTTCCTGTCGCAGTTCCTTCAAGCGCCTTTGCAGCCAGATTTGCACAGTCTTGGAAAAACTTGCATTCCAGGCCTTTCTTCATGGCCTGTTCAAACAACACACCCCATCTTCATCATCTTTGAACGAAGCCCCAAACAGGTACACATGAGGCGCCCTCCCCCAGCAAGGGCAGTGACAGTGGGAGCGCCCGTCAGCACATGTGTGTCTTGGGGCAGTACTCAATTGATATTTTTTGTGTAGTGTGGAGCGGAAGAGGGAGGAGTTCCGGTTTCCGCAAGAACAATCTAGACACTGGGATAGTCTCCAGACATCCATATATATATACACATATCCAGACATCCAACATATGTGTGCATCTCTGTCTCTCTCTGTATATATATATATAACATAATATGTATATATGTATATATATATATATGTATATATATATATACACATATGAGTGTGTCATATGTATATCATGCGTCCTGTGACCCCCCAGCTGTTTTGGCACGACCTAATGCAGGCGATCCAAACGTCCCGGTGATTTCCCCATGGCCACCTGCCCAGCCTCCCTCGCTCTTTGAGGCCTTCCGGCTGGTGGGCCTTTGCGCGGGCCCCGGAGACGCGGAGACGGGCCGTGGTAAGCGAATAGCACTTGGAGCGCAGGTAGTCGTTGGTTCCATTCTTCTAGGGGTTGTTCCATTTTGGGGTTACCCGATTTTTGACCAGCCAGGTGGTAAACAAGTAAAACAACACGGTTGTCTTGAAGTTTTTGTGGTGAACTCTTTAAGTGACATCGATCTACTTAGTCTGAACGTTGGACAAGGAAATTGAATCTTTCAGGCGACTTCGCGGACGCCGCGTGAGGGGGTCTTTGGGCACGCTGGACAACGCTGGACATCTCAATTTCAATTCTGGCCACCCCGCCCAAAACAACGCAGGTTCCTCCGTGTCCACACCACTCCAATGTGAGCAGTCCAGTTGATGTCAGGGCAGCTGCGATAGTTCAGGGAGGCAAGTCTTACCAAGCCGTGCTTTTGCCTCCGAAAAATACAACAGAAACTGCTCCAAATCGCTCACTTCCTTCTCCTCTTCCTCTTGTCTTTTCGGTTTTCAATGGAGTCCCTGCTTAAAAGTCCCGTGATCTCGCCTTTTCCTCGTGACTTTCCACGTGGATGCGCGAGCAAGTCGACAGGCGGCACCACAGGCCTGCTGGCTCCGGACTCGGAGGCCCCCGCCAAGTGGTTGCCTCGGAGGTTTGGCGGGGGACGTGGCAGTGGGTCAAAAATGCGTACCGAAAATTCGGGTACATGGAACCAAAGACTAAAACCTGCGGTCCCCTGATGGGTTTTATTTTGACCCATACCCACATGGTGGGCTGAGGCTCGGGGATTCAGAGAGCCTCAGCCCGATGTAAGGTTCGCTGCGGCCAAGAGAGGCAACAAATTGACGCTTTGTGGGTTTCGAAAGCGAATTTGAGCTCTAATGCTCGAATGCGGTGAGCGACCTTGGTTGGCGCAAAGAAAAGGGTAGCATTGGTGGCATGGTATGTAAACCTGGGTATCAATTTAACATTTGCTCAACGAAGTTCCAGTCCGTTCCAATCAATCAGGTCTTTGCTAGAATCAGAGACCGCTTTGCGCAAGGCTTGAAAGGACTACGGGTACACATGTTGGAGGCAAGCACGCATTGAGTGCTTGCAAAAGACCAAAAGACCCTTCATCATCGGCTTCCCTCGATCACAACAAGCGGCCCCGGAACACACCTTGCGAGACCGAAAGGGGCCACAAGGAAGGGCATGATGGTGTTTGTTTGGCTCCGTGATCTGGCACAGCCGGCAGCCACTTCGAACAGTTTTGGCGCAAACGGCGCCAAACATGATCCAGAGTGTTGAAGAAGCTTGGGATGAAGAAGAGGACAAGGGCCCCAGCCTCGAGTTCTCGCATTATGGCATGAATGTGAGGCACCGTATTTGCCAATAGTCTCGTCTTTTACACATTTGGAGCCGTACTCAGATTCCACCTGTCAGCAGGCTGCGCTCTACTAGGTTGTGCTCTTTGGCATCATGTTAGGATGTAATACTGTCCCACTGCGCTTTTGCAGACCCTGACCAGACCAAATTCTTTGCTCGGCATGATCCTGTGGATTGCGCCCACCTCTCTGAGGGCGCCATTACGAGCGAGATCGTTCTGCGTGCTTCGATTGCTCTGAGCTTTCGCAGATTTCCAAGATCCACGGCCTGATCTTACGGGGTGAGATCATCTCCACACTCGTAGCGGAGCTCTTTCATGCGCCCTTGAGCAAGCTTAGATGAGGTTAAGCTTGCTGCATTTGTGCAGCGGGGTGGCATTCTCCGCTTTCATCTGCTTGCCAGGCCAACACAATGCCGTTGTCGCGCGTATTCCTTGTCCCATCAAGACTCAAGCATCTTTGGTCGAACACTTCATTGTACTCACCATCCTCGACACGCATCGTTTTGTTGTGCCTGATTTGGATATCCACGGAACCTGCCTAGGTCTGTGTTCCTGGCGGGCTACAGTGTCGGGCCGCTGAAGGCCCAGAACCGTGAGAGATGTTGCGCCTGGCGCAAAGCCAAATGCTTCCGTGGTGGGATGGCCATGGAATCCAAAGCCCCCCGTGAAGCCAAGCTTGGGGGTCCCTATGCTGAGACAAAGGCGGAAAGATGTTGGATTGGTGCCATTTTGTTCAGGGCTTGAACCCGCAATGTAAGAAGCATGTGATCAGCCGAATCAAAAACATCTCATTCAAGCTTCCTTTTGAAAGGCCTCGGGGGCAACATGTTATCATGAGCAACTTGCTGCAGCTCAACCTCAAGTTGCCTTCAGTTCAGCGGGCCAGCATTGAACTGAACGTGCGCATCTCTCCATGCTGAAGTACAGCTGTTCCCAGGTCCGAAGATTTGTTTGAATGATGACATCGAGATGTGAGTTCATGGCGGAAGAAAAACATTCACGTTGTGCTTCGAGAAGGACATGTTGCGCTCCTTGGCGAACTCATGTAGGCGTTCCTTCGAGGAGATGTTTTTTTGGCCCTTGACGCGTGGTGTGGTCCTGGCAGAGTCCCAGTCTGAAGTTTGCTCAGTCGCTAACTGCTCGGGCCCAGCCCAAGGCTTTCACTTGCCCTCCCCCGGGCTATGGAAGCTCCCAGTCCCAGGACTCAAGACTTGGTTCCGCCTTTTGGGAGGCCTTCTGTAGGCAGGGCGTGTAGCTTCCCTTCAGCGACCTGTTTCGGCAGGGCGTCTTGGAGAAGCTCCTCACCAGCTGCGGGGTGCCTGCGGGCAAGGTGAAGGCAGGCGTCCCAATTTGACACCGGAGCACCTTGGCGTGGATTTGCACGGGGATTTATGCCTATCCGTTTTGAGGAGGTTTGCAAGTAAACAAACGGGTGTGCCCATCAGTTTTCAGCGGTAGCTAGAACTGCTCTCGAGCGAAATCACACGGCTTGTTCCGCGGCTGGCCAACCTAGAAACCAGGAGGACAACTGCTTTGGCCAAGTTTCTGCTTGCTGGCACTTTTTGGGTCAGTTTGAGCCACTGCCGGAGTTGTCTTTTCCCTTTCCCCCCTCGCGTGATTCTTTGGGCAGAACCTGGCGGCAGACATCATCAAGCTGGCGGTGAAGCTGCGGGGCTCAACTTGGAGCCGCATGGGGCGAGAGGAAGGGATCGGCAACCGTTCTCTAGATAGGCTCACAAACGGAAGCAACGGGGAACATGTCTCAGTTTTCAACCCCAGCCAAAAAAATGGTTGAAACCATGAAACGACCAGGAGATGGTTTATCTGGGGTACCATTCAAGCCTTCAACAAACCAGCACAATGGCAAGCTCTGGAAGACTTTTTCAATGTCTTGCCTTTTCTTTTCCGCAACACTATGGTTTTCCAGATTCGCAGAATCCGGCAGCGCCTCGAAACAAACACCATCTAGCAATTCGGGCGTTGTATCTCTCTATTACTCCGCAATCTAGCTCCTTCCACAGACAAGAACGCTTTGTGTCCAGCAATGTTGCACCCATTACATGACATGTAGACACACACACACACACGCATATGTATACAAACAAATGCATGTAAATGTGTCTTATGCATGCTTGTGTGTTTGTCTGTTCTGTCTGGTCTGGCTCTGCTCTGCTCTGCTCTGCTCTGCTCTGCTCTGCTCTGCTCTGCTCTGCTCTGCTCTGCTCTGCTCTGCTCTGCTCTGCTCTGCTCTGCTCTGTCTGTCTGTCTGTTTGTGTTTTTGTCTCTTTGTCTGTTTGCCTGCCTGCCGTGCCTGCTTGCCTGCCTTTCTGTCTGTCGGTCCGTCTGTCTCTGGCTGGCTGCTTACCTGTCTGTCTGCCTGCCTGCCTGTCAGTTTGTGTTTGTGTTACATCCTACTTGTTGAACCTTTGCAGCGTTAATCCAAAGGCCCTTCCAACGCTAGCTTCTACGCTGCAAACCTGAAACCACAGGCTTGAGCCCGAGCTGGAACATATTGCCCTGTTCGCTTTGAGCGGGTTCCCACGAAAAACGCTCCACCGCAAAAAGGGATCCCTTTCCTACTTCCCTGCTTTAGAAAGCTCCACCAAAAGGAATCCCTTTCCGACAATTGCTTGCAACTGGGTACGGAAAAAGCACGCCGTCCACACACCACTGGGGATTGTTCACGTGCCAAGGCTCTGCGAGTGACCCGTAGCGGGGTTTCTCAGGTCTGGCCTGGACACTGGCGGAATCCCTGGAGGCAAGAAGTGCAAGCCTGGAGACCCAGAGACCTCGCCTGCAGCCTTGGAGTTTTTGGGGTATTGCCCAAGCTTTCTTTCTCTTCTGTGCCACGTTGGCTTTTGTTTCCTGTTTGTTGTTTGTTGTTTTGCTGCAGTTGTTGCCGTTGAATTGTTGTTTTTCTCGTGTTTCTTGTTTTTCTTGTTTTCTCTTCTTCTTCTTCTTCTTCTTCTTCTTCTTCTTCTTCTTCTTGTCGTCGTCGTCGTCGTCGTCGTCGTCGTCGTCGTCGTCGTCGTCGTGGTTGTTGTTGTTGTTGTTGTTGTTGTTGTTGTTGTTGTTGTTGTTGTTGTTGTTGTTGTTGTTGTTGTTGTTGTTGTTGTTGTTGTTGTTGTTGTTGTTGTTGTTGTTGTTGTTGTTGTTGTTGTTGTTGTTGTTGTTGTTGTTGTTGTTGTTGTTGTTGTTGTTGTTGTTGTTGTTGTTGTTGTTGTTGTTGTTGTTGTTGTTGTTGTTGTTGTTGTTGTTGTTGTTGTTGTTGTTGTTGTTGTTGTTGTTGTTGTTGTTGTTGTTGTTGTTGTTGTTGTTGTTGTTGTTGTTGTTGTTGTTGTTGTTGTTGTTGTTGTTGTTGTTGTTGTTGTTGTTGTTGTTGTTGTTTGTTGTTGTTGTTGTTGTTGTTGTTGTTGTTGTTGTTGTTGTTGTTGTTGTTGTTGTTGTTGTTGTTGTTGTTGTTGTTGTTGTTGTTGTTGTTGTTGAAGGCGGTGAAGGTGGTGAAGGCGGTGAAGGTGGTGAAGGCGGTGAAGGCGGTGAGGGTGGTGAAGGTGGTGAAGGTGGTGAAGGCGGTGAAGGCGGTGAGGGTGGTGAAGGTGGTGAAGGTGGTGAAGGTGGTGAAGGTGGCAAATTAATCAGGAGGTAAGTAAGCAAACAAGTAAGTACGCAAGCAAGTAAATAAGTAAGCAAGGAAGCAAGTAAGCAAGTATCCAAGTAAGTACGTGAATAAAGATGTAAGCAAGTACGTACGTAAATAATACACATATAGTTTATCCCTCTCAGATCAACATCTATTTGCCTTTCAAGCCTGGTTCTTGCCGACTAGACTGACGCAGCTCACTGGAGCGTGCGATTCTTGGGTTGGAGTCGAACAGCGAGCTGGGCTCCAAGTTCGATCCGTCTCGCAGGTCTGGCCGATCCGGGCACATGCTGCAAATCTTCTTGAGGCGCGGGACTTCTGCTTTGAGGCTTCATGGGGGCTGGGGGGAGGGAGGGGAGGGGGAGGGAGCCCCTTTAAGCCCCTATTAAGCCCTCAATAAGGCCTTTTTCCATCCCTCCCCCAGCCTTCATGAAGGCATGATGCAGCTGCCAAGTTTTGAGAAGCCCGGGAAATCTTCGGAAAGGGCCAAGTTGAGACGCCTCAATCAATGTTGCTACTCCGCAGTGTGAAACCAAGATCCTTTTGGTGTTGGCAGGGTATTCCAGACAGCCTCTTGAACTTGGCTATGATATGTGGTCCCTTCTAGAGGAAGTTGACCTTCTAACCCTCAAATTCTCTTCTTGTGGGCGGATCCCCTGATATTTGACTCATGTTTGGATGGTAGTGGCCCTTGTCCGAATGGCTCAGGAGAGAGCTTTGTGACGAGTACGCCCGAAACCCGGCAGTGAACTGCACGGATTTTTTGGAGAGGGTCCGCTTGGGAGCCATATGGGTATGGCTCAAAATTAGGTTTTGGTCCATGTTTCCACTTACTAGGGTTCCATTTGGGGTACCTATTTTTGACCCACAGCCATATAGAGGCATTGTATTTGGTCATTCCTGCTCGGGCCTCCTTGCAACGTGCTTCGTGCAACGCGGTCGAGTTGCTGTTTCTGAAGGAAAATGAGTAAGGATGGCTCTGCGACGAGTTTCACGCAAACCCGGGAAAGTTGAGGGGTCCAGCGCGTTGATCCTGCACCATAGCGGTTTGTTTTCGAAGGTTATAAAGGGGCCTGTTGTCAATTACACAAACCTTCTGTATGCGGCAGCAATCGTTTTCACTTTGATTGGATCAAACATGCAGCCCAGGTTTGACACCTGCAAGACCAAGATCAGCTTTCTGTATCACACCAACATGTGGTTTCCCGTCGATACAACATCGCTTCCTTCAAATATGCTTCCCAGAGGAACCGGCTTTCCGTTGCGCTTCGCAGAGACTTGGGTAGATCGGCCAGCCCCTGAGGTTGGCCTGCGCCCCGCACCAACGCCCAGACGCAAAAACCCTAAACCTCAACCCTAAAAACCAGAAACCTCAACCCTAAAAACCCTAAACCTAAGCCTTAAAACCCTAAACCTGAACCTGAAAACCCTAAACCTAAACCTAAAGCCCTAAACCTAACCCTAAACCTCAAACCCTACACCTAAACCCTGAAAACCCTAAACCTAAGCCCTAAAACCCTAAACCTAAACCCTAAAAAACCCAAACCCGCCTGCAAAAACCTAAGCCCTAAAAACCCTGGACCTAAGCCTTAAAACCCTAAACCTAAAACCCCCAGACCTGCCTGCTCACGCCCTCGTGGTACCACGGCCCACGTGAAGAGAACGCAGGTCACCACGTGTCAGGTATGGCTGCACGAGTTCTGCTACTTGACTAGTAAAGGGGTGCCATACTTAAACTACGTGCTGCAGGAAGTTGAGTCACCTGGGCATGGGCAGGACAAGGGTGGATTAGGGGGTGCCGGTAAACCACGGGGGCTGTGGGTAGATACTAGGATTAGCTTGACTTTTATCCAGCACGAGCTTTCCTAGTTCCCCTACGGGCAAACATGAGCCTCGTTAGGTCCCAAGAAAGTTGAGTTCACGCAGGGCATATTTAGCTGCGGGATGAGATAAAGGGTAGGGATGCCCTGCGAAAGATGGGAACATGACCTGGAGTTCAGGTAAAGATTTGGCTGCGGGTCAGAAATGGCTACCCAAAATTCAAGCCTGGTAAATGGAAATATGAACTAAAATCTGCGGTCCCCTGGTCGTTCAATTCTGACCCACAGCCATTTGCAGTCAAAGTGGCTTGGCTGCACATCTCTGTGCTGTGTTCAAAGTAAGAGCCCAAGGTGTATCCCTCCTTCGCCTTCGGGGTGCCTGACAAAGCGAGGGACAAGCCCTTCAGCAAATACATGGCACAGGAGAGCTGCAAAATGGGAGGGGGGATGCTTGAATGTTTGATGTATAGCTACTTTACAAGTCCTCCAGTTGGAGTTGTGACCACTGAAGGGTTGAGCATCCAATTGGAGGCGGCTTGTGCTATGTTCAAATCCGTGAAATACCTCTAGTTGGGACTAGTTGCCCTCCCCAAGTCCGCTTGAGAGTTCCAGAAAGAGCCTAAGGTGTATCCCTCCTTCGCCTACGGGGTGCCTGACAAAGCGAGGGACAAGCCCTTCAGCAAATACATGGCAGAGGAGAGCTGCGAATCCTTTGGCCGCTGGGAACAAAACAGAAAACACAAGGCACCTGGGGCTCAATATGCCCTGGACCCATGGAGGACAGTGTTTTTGTTGCTGGTTTGAGTTTTCTTCCTGTCACACCGACCCACAACTTCCAAAGCAACCTCTTCGCACATCATGCGTTGTTTGATGGCGAACTGAAACTTGTGTTGCGTTGTTTTGTGGGACAACCACTTGTGATGCTCAGTGCATGTCCTGCGCAATTTTGGTCTTGTTCAGACATATCTATCATTCAACGCGATCAGTATTGAACCATGGCACGTCTCAAATGGGCAATATGTTTTTCAAAAGGGAACAAACATCGACACCACTCAGGATTGGAGACACTTTGTCGTTGTAACCCTAACCCTAGCCCGACCCGCTTAACCCTACGCCCTAAACCCTACCCCCCTGAACCCTACCCCCTAAACCCTACCCCCTAAACCCTAAACCGGTTGGTTAAAGTCCAGTTTTTTTCCCCCGCATCCTTTGGGGAACCCGTTTCTGATGTCAGCCAGGACGTCGCCATTGAGGGCCAGGTGCGGATCACGCTGAACCCCGATGTCTTCCTGCGGGCCAGGGGCCCCAGAGGGCCCTGGGGCTCTGGGGCGCATGCGTTTTTGGATTCTCACAAGAACGCGGGCGATGAACAAGTAAGGATTGTGAATTCCGGGCTTGAGAGAATGAACTCAGAGGCAGTTTGCAGAGCCAAGGTGCCAGCTTGCACTCCAATTTGTTTTTGGGCCGGGATCTAGGTGGCGCAGATGCGAAAGCTTGAGCCCGCAGAAGCAATGCGAAGGCAAGAAGAAGGCACAAAAACGTGCATTTGGAGCAGCACGCTTGTGGAATGATCAGCGAAATCAGCACACGCCATCCTCGACCCATCACGCCTTCACACGCTCAAATCCTCAGCCGCCATCACCATGGGCCTCAGCCCACGAGATCGCGATATCGGCCGGGAGGTTCGGCACGCTTCAGGCCACTACGGCGCGGATGTTCACCTTCGCCGCGGCAGGGGCCCCCGGAGGGAGTGGCCTGAGGTACCGTGGCTGTATGTTTTTTCGCGGTTACTGTGGTCTTTTTGTGGGACTTGAAGGGTAAAACAAAGGGAAGTTGCTTTGTTCTTGGACTTCCCATTTAAGAGACCCCGCCATCTGGTCAGTTTCCGGCACCAGTATTGGTACATGCTGATTTGGGGTTCAGGAAGAAGTAGCGCACCTGAAAGGAATTGAGACGACATGATACGATTCTATGGATCTTTCTTGCGCGAATCATGACCATTCACCCTGGAAGGTGTGACATGACACACCTTAGTCGCATGAAGATCAGAGGCATTGTATGGCACAAACTAAACTGGCAAGTGATTTACAGGGGTGGTGGCAAGACGATAGCCAACTGGCTTGTGTTTTTCATGCTCATCTTAGCCGGGGCTGCAAGCAACGGTTTCCAAGAAGGAGCCCCGTCTTGAGGAATCTAGCTGAAAAGGATGTGGTTTCAAGGATGATCTTGCGACCCTTGCTTCAGAGCGGCTTTGACTAAATGTCTACTTGCGCTTTGCACAGAACTTGCTCAATGGCGCTATGACCTTTCCACTAGCCGCTCTTCAGATTGTGATCAATAGCTAGATGCATAGCTTCAAGCATTGAGCGTGAGACTGGCAGTCCGGGTCAGTTGGTTGGGGGCAGGTTTTCCAAGAACTGGTTTCGACGACCCGCTTCCAGTTGCTAATTTGACAACTGTACCTTGTTTTGGGTGTGTCTCAAAATGGTTAGTTTCCTTTTGGTTACCCATTCAAAACAAGACACCCATTGAACCTCTTGTTTCCTTTTTTTTGAAGCGACGAAAAGAAAGACGCGACGTCTCGCATGGCTCAGGATCCGACCTTTCACTCGCCAGGCGCTCAGGAAACAGTCAAAGCTCAGTTGGACTTTGAGCCAACCCGAAATGTATTTCCTTCATTGGTGTTCCATGCTTGAAGCCTGTGTTTTTGAAGAAGGTGAATATCTGTTTTCATGTCTCCCGAAACGCATGCCGATCTTGCAAAGGAGTATGCGTTTGGGGGTTCTGTGAATCTTCAGGGCATTTGGAAATCTTCGCCTGCTGATTGTCGTTGCTAGCACGAATTTTCTGCAGTTTGCCCACCTAGCCTTCTTTTTTCTTTGCGGCAGGGAGGGAGAATAGTTGCGTGTAATTGCCAGACAGGAGCTTAAAGCTTCAGGCCAAGCATTGAAGATTAGGGCCTATGGTCCTAAATCTTCGTGAGTCTTCCACCAAACACTGCCAGCATGTGTACTTCCATGCTCATCTCCGCGAAAGTAAGCGTCAACACGATGGTCTTCTCTTGTGCCGCTCGCTGACTCGCGGGTCCTAGGAATCGCATGGAATTCCAGGAGGAGCTCAAGCCTGGGGCATCCAGATGAGTCTGCGAGGAGTTTATAGGGTCCCTGCGGAGAGACATGCATCACATTGTGACATGTTTTTGGAAGGAGATCTTTAAAATGGAGGGAATCCCGTATGCTTGGAATGCTGTCCCCAGGAGTGATCATCAGATCATGAACACATCCAGTGAAAAGTGAGGTAGCGTGCACGCGCACAAGCACACGCACAAGTTTGAGCATACACTCCCATGGCAAAATACTATTTGGAATGCGTCGTGCTCAGACAGTGTCCTCTTACGGACAGCTCCAGCCGATTCTGCAAGACACAAATGTAGGTTCAACCCCCCCCCCTAGCGGGCATGGAGTTGTTGCATTCTCGCTGCCCTGCCTTTGGGGTGCATGTGCGCCGATGCCTAGCGTTGGACTTTTGATTTGGGTCAGTTTCTGCAACAAGGTTCGGGCAGCTTCGGCCCTCATTTGGGCCTTGGTGGCTTCTGGCCCCTCGAGAATCATTGCCCGTGCTATCCCAACAGAGCTGTGTGACACCTGTCCACTCTCGTCCCGCATTCGTATGTTTTGGGAGAACCCAAGGGAGGCTTTCGTAGATATAAAAGGACCCGTGGCTCTCAACCCTTGTTGATTGGCCTTGCTTTGGGGCCCACAACCGGATAATGGACAAATTGCAGGTTGAAGCAAAGGCAGCCAATACTGCTGGTGGTGAAGTTTCGATTGAGAAACATGCAAGCTAGCTCCCGGGATGGCACTTGAAAACCCACCAGACTTTTCACCAGAAGTTTTGACCCCTTCCAGAAGGATTCATCCAAACCAACTAGCAAAAAGGATGAGCAGCAGTGAAATGATCTCGGCTATAGCACTGCACGTACTCCATTGGAAAGAGAACCAGCCCAACAGCAACTTTGTTGGGCTGTTACTTTTTGGACCAAGCCGGAAGAGAAATGCAGTGGCATGTTCTCAATCTGTTCAACGAAATGCGCAGCGCGTAGCGCGCAGTTTGATGAGGGCCCGCCTGGAGCCGATCCTGGGGTCCGTGGCGGTAAGGACGAAGGCGGTGCGGGGGCTTAGCATTGTGTCATCGGTTTTTGGAGGGGACCTCGTTTTTCATGGGTTTTCTATTCGAAACCAAGAGGAACACCGAAAAAAAAGGGGCATGTTGGGTCCGAAATCTAAAGACACACCCATATGTGCCCTTGGCAAGCTCTTTGGACCAGTTTCGAGGATGAGCGCTGGGGTTGGCAACGGACAATCTATAGTCGAGTTTCCGCCTCTTTGTGGCGACCCAGGGAATAGCGCCATTCCAGACGAGCTTGTACGCGAGGCCATGATATTGGCGTTCCGCTTTGCAGATGCCAGGCGGAACGCCTCAAGGTGGTGGAGGGTACTGTCTCAGCCCGGCACTTCTAGCGCCCAAGGCCAAAGGCATCTTTGGCGGCGAGCCGCCAGACTGGTGGTCCCCGGAGGAGCTGCGGAATCCATACCGAAGTTTCTTTCTCCTTGCCAGCTAAGGGTGTTGAGGGAAAACCTATAAAATACGGCTGAAACGTCTGAAGCTCAGCGTCCAGACGCCTGTCAGAAGTTTCAGCTGGCCTGAAGGGAGTTCACCTGGCTTGCTTGTCACCAGGTCCGTCAGCCCTGAGGACCAAAGCGACATGGCCAAGATGTCGAAGGGCCGCTACGCTACCTCTGGGCTGGACGAATGAGCCGCGGCCCGCGGTGCAAGTTTGAGAGGCACGCAATCGAGAAGTGGCCAGTGTCCCCACTCATCGAGAGTATGTGCCTTCAAGCCTTGCCCCTTCAGACGAGGTTGGTGGATGTTTTCAGTGGAATCAAAGTGACACTGAGCCCATACACAGTTGAGCCGAGCTCGCATGCAGCGCATGACGGTGGACGGTGGGGCAGCTTTTAACGCTCTAGTTTCCTCTCGCTTTGCGGAAAGTCTGCACCTTTCGTTGATCCAACTGGTGTTGCTAGGGATAGGGCTCCTGAAATGCAGGCGTGTGTTTGCAGAGATCATGTTTACCGGTGCCACTACTTTCATGCAGAGCGCTGAGCTAGATTGCTTCAGACTTAGTCAGCGTCTCGAGGGCCTGACGTGAGCAAGTCACGCAGGAACCCATTGCCACAAACCGTTGTAACGCCTGGAGCCAAACCATCCTTGACCCCTCAAAGTCGAACGGCTTTTACATTGGCTTCAGGTTTCTGGACGGAAGTGGGAGCCGGCGCGGGTCAAGCTGCTCAGAAAGCAAGGCGGATTTGCAACCTTTTCTCGTACGATACTAATTTTGCGAGGTTCTATTTTGACAAACCAACTGTGGCCTGAGACATTGAGGCGCTGTTGTTCAAGCACGCGCCAAATTCCTGGCGCCGCTGGCTGCATTTGCTGAAATCAGTCCTGTCAGAGCAAACACATGCTGGCACGTTGTATTGTATGTTGTGCCCCAGTCAACGGCAAGCTGAATTGACTTTGCAACGGAGCTTCCGTACCTTATCGCTGCTCAAGCGAGAATTCAGTGACTGCTTTAGGGTGAGAAATGAGCACTGATTTTCTTCGAAATCGAAGGGCTTGCTCTGCAACAAATAGCAGATCATATTTGTCAGCATTGTTTGGGATTGTTTTAGTGAGAGAGGCTGAGGTTGCCACATGCAAGCTTGTACTCATAGCTTCTTTCAGGATCACAAATACCAAAGACACAACCCCAGGTCGGAATGTGAAGGGCCGTTCACAATTTCGAGTTGGGATCATCGATTCGGGCAAATGGGAGAGCGCTTTCTGCATCGATCCAAAGGGGAGACTGTGTACAATGGCAGGGTCCCAGGATCACTGTCTATGCACTCAACTAGATTGAAAAAAACCGTCCAAATAGCTCTTGACTTTTGACAACCGATTCAACACCCAAGTAGCTCGAGCCCTGGTCTTCGTTCCGTTTTTGTTTCCACTCGACTCGACTCGAAGCCGGCCCCACTCGACTCGAAGACGCCCCAGCGGGCGATCGGCCATGGAGGCGGCGAGGCTGGGCGTCTAGGGCCCTTTTTGGCGTGTCTGGTCTCATTCTTTTTGGTGGGACGCCCCCAAATAAACTCCCTCAACGGTTTTCCTTTTGGCTTCTCTTTAAAGCCAAAATGGGGATAGCGGGGTACCCAGACACAGTTGGAAGGGAAGCAGAGGACTCTCTAACTGACGGCTCGTTCTTGATTCGCGCCTTTCGCTCGCTCTTGCTCGCTCTTACTCGCGCTCTCTCTCCCTCCCCAGCCTGCGCAAGCGAACCACACGGAAAGCCGCGAGTTTTTTTTGTGTCGACCCGCCGAAAGTCCCAAGAGGGTGCACCTTTTGATGGTTGCAAGCTGGAAAACGTGAAACAAAACCAAACCAAAACAACAAACGAAGTCGACGCCCCCGCAGAGGGTTGTTCAAGCGAAGTAAGAAAACACGTGGGCTTCTGAGGGTCGACCCACCCAAACAGCCAAAGTGCGCAGAGGGTTCACCTTTTGAAAGTTGCGAAACAGTGTGCGCAGCCGTGCCAATGGTCGTCGCCGCACCCGCTCTGAGATCGGACCGCTGCGCACTTGTTCCAGACCGCCTCGTGCAGGCATCGCCATCGAAGTCGCTTGCGCTCATGCGGAAGAGCCGAATTCACGCACACGCCCACGTTTGCCGCGCGCGTCCATTCCCCAGTTCTCGCGTTCTGCAGATTTTTTGTAGCTGTTTCACGCGCAGTGCATCTAGTCTCAAGATCACGCCCAGGTACACGCATTCTTAGAGCTAGCTTAGTTATACAGTTCCAATGCTTCCTTCTAAACTTCCCTGACCAAGGCTTTGATTCTTGTGGGCGGACTCTCGTTGTTTCTGCTGACTTTGCAGGTCATCATCGCTTTGGAAGGTGCTGGTTGCTTGCTGTGGCTCTGGGGCTCGGAATTTTGGTCCACGGGACTCGCATTTCTCCAGGCGATTTTCTTCCATTCGGTTGAAGCGCGGCCTTTTGCTGGCGTGTATTCTTTCTGTCATGATGGCACCGTTCTGCGGCCGCAGAAGGTCTGGGGATACCAAAAGGGCCTCTGGGATCCACTCAGGGAGGCGAGCGATGCAGCGGCTCTGCGGCAGGAGGCGCGCGGATCTGCGTTTCTAGGAGATGAAACGCTAGACTGGGTTCACCACAGAAAGGGAACTATGGTGAAGACGCTGCTTTTCAAAGCCACCGCACTTCCGGCAAATGAGAGGTATCATATGGTCCGCTGTCCATGACATCATGCCCAAGGGGGCCCTTTCATACTACCCCCTGCCCGTTTGTTGGCCTTCATGCTACCTTGTGATTGGCCCAAACAACCTGTTGTGCAGATCCTGGGAAGGGAATGAGCCCGAGGTGAACCATCCCAAAAGCGGCTTCCCTCAAGTTGATCCGTCCACTCCAAAACCCCTTTTGTGACGTTACAGAAAGGCGGGCCACTGAACTTTTCCCTTTGAGCACTTGAGCCACAATCAAAACCGGGGTAGATGAAGGTTAGTAAGGGACAATCCCAACCATAAATAGCTGCGGCCGCCTTAATTCCTTACATGGTTCTGGGATTACGACCATTTCACTCCCGGGTTTGGATCGTGGCTCCCTTGGCCATGGGTCAAGATCCAACTCGTACCCCCAGTGAGCATCTCAATCCAACCACTGAAGTTTAGACTAAAAAGTGGGCGGTGAATTCACCAACTGGGATCAACCAACACGGTTTTGACCACCACCGCCACTTGGAGTCCTTGGGGTCAAGATGGCCGTCCCAAAATGGGATCGCCCTAGGCTCTGCACCCCACGGCCAGAGATCGCCATAGGGTATACTACCCGGTTTCGGGGGCGATTTTACAGGGGCTCTGTGGCCTTCATGCCCCTTGTCCCTTTGACCACTTGGAGTTCTTGGGGTCGCCTCAAAGCATCTCGGCCCGCGAGGTGCTGTCGCTGAAGCTGCTGTGCAACGCCGCGAGGGCGGAGGCCGCCGTGGCGGACGGCAAGGCGGCGGAGCTGAAGGAACTCGTCTTCAAGGCGGAGACACCGGCGAGATGGGACCCAGGGTGGTTTTCGTGAGCGTGTGTGCGTAAAAAGCACGGTGTGTGGATATGTATACTATCTCTATCTATATATATATATATATGTATACATATCGTGTATATATATATATATGTATATGAATATGATGTATGTGTTATTTCCTGCAGAGGTTTTGCCGTCGTTCCTTGCAGCATTAAAAAAGAAGGGATGGCCGCTTCGGTCGAGGCGTTTTCTCCTCCAAGTATTTGACACATCCTGCAGAGGTTTTGCCGTCGTTCATTGCAGCATTTAAAACGTATTTTTCATTTATGGCGAGAAGTCCAAGTTCTGTGGGGTGGGGAGCAGTTGGAAGCAAACTTCCCGAGCCTCCACCAAACGCACCACCCCCCAAACACTTCCCCTTTGGGAAGACACCAAAAGACCAAGACTGACAGTCTCCTTTGCATGAATCCCCTCCACACAGTGATGCACCGTGTTGATTCCTTCTTCAGTAATCAAGCATGAATTGCCATGGCTCACATTTTCAAGGTATATATTTTGTGCGATTTCGACACCCGCAGGAGCGCAGTGAGCAAGACAAGCTCGCATGCTCCTTGCAGGAGCTGGGCTGGAAACGAAGGTGTCAACGTACCGGCTGAACTTTTGGAGATGGTCATCCTCGGCCCTGCTGCCTGCTTTTTCCCACCCAGTTCTAGCCTTGGAGCGACCCACTGGCTTTGTTCGTACTTTGGACTTTGCTGCAAGGAATTTCGCTTGGGTGTGTCGTCTTTTTAAGATTTGGGCCCCAAAATGGATTGCGGTTTTTGGTTTGGCGTTCCTTTCAAGCCACAAAATAGAAAAATACCCCCACTTGCACTCGTCCAAATTGGGCGAACGACCTCCCATTTAGGAGCAGCTGGACCTCTTGCGACGGCAGCTGGTGCAGCAGTCGGAGGATCTCCAAGTGCTGGCCCAGAAAGGCCCGAAGCCTCGGGGCTTGACATCGGGGCCTCCGGCTCGGCCGCTCGGGGTGGGAGGTGCGCGGTGACGGTCAACTCATCGATTTTTGGGCGGGTTTGTCTTAGGCCTCTGGCTCTTGGAGTGGTTGGCAAAATGACATCTGCCAGAATTGTGCTCACATGTTGCAAAGCTGAGTCCAGGGCGGCTTTCGGCAAGCAAACGAATCGCTGGGATGGCTGGAGCTGGTCGATGAGAAACTGTCCGCCGGCCCTCACGAGGCGCCGCAGCTGCGGCGGGGCTGGAGGAGAGGCGGCAGCGGGAGCTGGAGATGCAGTGGCGCCAGGACCAGGTGAGGGATTTGTCACAAGCAGACCCGTTTCGGTCCAAAAGGAGGTGACAAAAACATGATGAAGCCAGTCGAGCTACCACTAAAAAGGTCGGTACAACGGATATGTTGTGGAGTGGAATAATAGGGTTAACCCACCTCAAACAAGAAGGCGAGCCTTTATCGCGAAGGGTTTAGACATATTCCAGGTTCGTGCAGAAGGGTGTTGGCGGCGGTTCAATTGGCCACTTTTCACCCCATGGCTGCCTTCTTGGGATTTCTTGCTAAGCGGTTGGCGGGGGCACGTCTATGCAGTGGATTTGAAGGTCAACATGCAAGTTTTGAAGATTTTGAGAGATCAATTTCTTCGTGGGGCGGAATCTGCAACAAGCGTTCCTGACGGGTTTTAACTGCTGCTTTCGGTTTGGCTAGCAAATGCACGTCTCATGCCTCTTTTGGGCTGCCCAGGCTCTCGTAGTTGGGATCACCCGCATGCGTCCCTGCTGTTTGCAAACACCACTCCCTATTGGTGTCGGTTCCCACAAGCAGCGCATCCCATCGCCGTATCGTGGGCTTTCCATGACAATTCGGCACACGCAATCGTGCATGAAGGCATGTACCACATGCGTCCCGCGAGAGTTGTGTTGCTTCGAGTTGCCGTGAAATAGCACAGACACACAGTGACACACGTGTAGAACATTGGGTGTATCCTGTTCTTGCCGCTTCGGGAGACGCATTAATTATACTACCCAACGGAGCCCTCAGGCTTGGATGGCACATCATGGTGCTTTTAGTCCCGGGAGTGCCATGCGTTCGCCAAGCACGAAAGAGGAATCTTCGGAGATTCATCCATGGTGGACCCTGGTCAGAGGACCCCCCCCTCCGATTTTTGTTAAATCTTTTCCTAAAAGGAGAACCCCCCCCCCATTTTTTTTTTGATCTCTTCCTCAAGGGCACCCCTGAAGAATCGCCGGGGCCCCGGACAACTCCGCAGTTCCCATTGCGAAGCAAGGGACGCGCCGTGCGAAACTTGCGGCTTTGCGGTCTCCAGGGCTTCGCAGAGGCAGCGGAGCAGCGCCGCAAGGCGGAGGAAAGGCGGGAGGAGGAGGAGAGGCGCCTGGAGGAGCCCCGGGGAATATTTTCCTTTTTCAGGAGTTGCGAACCCGGGGAATGGGTTCGGCCAAAAGGCATTGGGATGCCCGAAATGCTGCAAGGGAAGAAGGGGAGCTGGTTTGCCGTTGGCTTAGTTTGCGGTTGGTTTACTGAATCAACTCAACCTGCTAAAGTGGGGCTTGGAAAAGGAACATGGCAAAGTGCTGGTTGAGAGTTGACTCGGGTGTGCTCTTGGGGATTGTGCATTCTCCTCACATTCAGAGAAATGTATTACACCCCGAGATTGCACCCTGATTCCTACTTATTTTGACTTCTGTTGTTTTTACCTTTCCTTCGCTTGGCTTTCTCCCGTGTAATTCCTTTTCCCTCTACATACTCCTCGCGTAGCCGAGCCGACTACATCCCTCCCGCCTGTCGAGGAGCGTCTGCGGGACGCGGAGGGCAAGCGTCGGGAAGAGGCGGCCGAGGGCCGGCAAAGCGCCGCAGAGCTGCGGGGGAGGTTGGAGGTCTTGGTGCCTCGACGGGTAGAGGTGGGTTGCTTCCTTCTTCTCCTTTCTTGTGCTTCGCTTTTTTTTCTGGTCGGGTTCCCTTGATCGGCTTCCCTTTAATTGGTTGGTTCTGGCCAACATTGGGAGTAGGCTTCACGCTTTGCTCGCATATCATCAGAGAAGCTAAATACATCTTCCAGGCGGCAACGCGGCTTGAAACAAACAACAAAGTAAGCAATAACACAATGTGGGAATATTTAAAGATATTTATTCGAACAGGAACTCCATCACGTCGACTCGGGCAGTGAAAGTCTGGGCTGCCTCAAATGTCCAGCTTTGCTGGCCAGCAAAGCAACCGTCTTCCATTTTGTTCACCTTTGTGACTGACAGCACGGCCTCAACTGCTGCCTGAGACAAACACACAGAGCTTGTGTAGTATTATTCATGACTATTGATGAGTTCAATCAGTGATGTTGCTTTGACCGATGTCCAATGTGTTGCGTCAAAAGGGGGGGAGGTAAGAGACGAAGAATGATTCCTGTGCTGCAGTATGGGATCTGGAACGTGGCTGTTATCCGCACAAGTTAGTCGACCCTCCAGCATCATATTTACAGAATTCACAGACAACTTCCGCAGATTCACAGACGGCCCAGGCCCATCCGGGGTCAGACGGTCAGACCACAGGACTTTTCTTGCTTTCTCGATAGGCAGGGAATGAGAGATAGAATGACTCCGAGATAAACCATCCGATTTGGTTTTCCTTTCTTTGGGAATCCCCCAAACCTTGGTTCATTCCAATTCAGCAGCACCCGGTGGTTTCCTTTCTTCGGGAATCCCCTTCCGGTTCATTGCCACCCGGAATCGTTCCTTCCCACCCGGAAGCTCGTGGTCATTCCCCACCTATCGCGCCGTTTGCTTCTCGACGCCCCTTGGCCGAGGAGCAGCGGTTGGGCGCCGCTCAGCAGGCGGCGCAGGAGAAAGCGGAGGCGCTGCGGCTGATACAGGGCCAGGTGGCTGCGCTGGACGCCTTCCAAGGCGAGTCGCGAGTCGCGCGCGAGTCGCGAGTTGGGCGGTGCGGTGCGGCCGGGGTGGGTTGGGGGGTTGGGGGGGGGGGGGGGGGTTGGCATAGAACTTCAGATTCATCCCATGCTCAGATGGTTACATCTACCTTGGCCCAGAGCTGCATGAAATGAACCGCCCTGCACTGGGTGCGTCGCGCTGTGTTTCCCCAACGACATAACCCAAGCAGCAGCCGGAATGTGTCGAGGCAAGGAGCACACACACACACACACACACACACACACACACACACACACACACACACACACACACACACACACACACACACACACACACACACACACACACACACACACACACACACACACACACACACACACACACACACACACACACACACACACACACACACACACACACACACACACACACACACACACACACACACACACACACACACACACACACACACACACACACACACACACACACACACACACACACACACACACACACACACACACACACACACACACACACACACACACACACACACACACACACACACACACACACACACACACACACACACACACACACACACACACACACACACACACACACACACACACACACACACACACACACACACACACACACACACACACACACACACACACACACACACACACACACACACACACACACACACACACACACACACACACACACACACACACACACACACACACACACACACACACACACACACACACACACACACACACACACACACACACACACACACACACACACACACACACACACACACACACACACACACACACACACACACACACACACACACACACACACACACACACACACACACACACACACACACACACACACACACACACACACACACACACACACACACACACACACACACACACACACACACACACACACACACACACACACACACACACACACACACACACACACACACACACACACACACACACACACACACACACACACACACACACACACACACACACACACACACACACACACACACACACACACACACACACACACACACACACACACACACACACACACACACACACACACACACACACACACACACACACACACACACACACACACACACACACACACACACACACACACACACACACACACACACACACACACACACACACACACACACACACACACACACACACACACACACACACACACACACACACACACACACACACACACACACACACACACACACACACACACACACACACACACACACACACACACACACACACACACACACACACACACACACACACACACACACACACACACACACACACACACACACACACACACACACACACACACACACACACACACACACACACACACACACACACACACACACACACACACACACACACACACACACACACACACACACACACACACACACACACACACACACACTCCATGCGCCGCAGATTTGCAGTGGTCACTTGCTTTCAGTTTGTGTGTGTGTGTGTGTGTGTGGTGTGTGGGTGTGTTTGTTGCATGTTGTTGGGCGGTGTCAAAGAACCAGTGAACGGGGCCCTCTGGTGGGATTCCATGACAGCTCGGGTTGGAGAGCTTTTTCTGTAGCAGCTCGAGTCCTGCGGCAAATCCTTTGCGGCAAGTACGCCAATACAGATTTCCTTTGCTTGAGGTTGAATTTGACCTGAGACGGTGAGTGAGTGAAACGCTATTATCCTGCCTGTTGGTGGCTAGCCCCACACTGGATGCGAGCACTCGGCAGCTCTTGACGCTGCTTGTTTTATATAGTATAAAGTCTGACATGGCTGGCAATCACCTATTAAATCACTGTACTGGGATTGCACTGACCCCTCAGTTGGATGCCAATAAGTGGTGCGGTGATTTTGTTGCGAGCCTTTTCACCTGGCGCTGAAAACGGGTACCCAAAATGGCGCCTTGGAAGCCTGCGGCTTGCCCCAGCCGCCTGAATTTTTGATACCCAGATGTTGAGCGGATGCGCCCAGGCAACCTCGAAACCCACAAGCACCCTGAGGCACAGTGGAGACGCAGCTCTCGGAGACCTCGGGCCAGCTGGGGCGCCAGGAGAGGAGCTCAGAGGAGCAACGACAGGCGCTCGATTCGGACCGCCGGGAGCGCTTTTCTTGCTGGTGCGATAGGCAGGGAATGTGGAATGGAACCCAGGGGTCGGGGTCCCCTTAAAGGAAATCGCCAGCTGGATGGTTTATAAGGGTCACCTCATTCCCTGAGCACCAGCAAGCTTTGACATGACTTCGCCTTTTAAGGTTTACAAGACCATGTGTGAACCAAGCCGAGCAAATCATTTACAATTAGCCTCATCCAGGAAGGTCAATGCATGAAAGCCAGCTGCAGAAGGGATGGCGTGATTTGCACCACAGGTGCATGTGCATCACAGGGCGTGAACCCCCACTCTACCATGCCAACAAACCAACATTAAGCATGCCCCTTACAGCAGCTGGCAAAACCTCAAACTACCTCGCCTGTTGCCCCCAACCGAAAATCATACGTTTAGATTATGGTTCATGTTTGGAAAGCCCTTCTGAGGTGCAGCGTGAAGCTTGGTGCTTTGGGTTTCCTTCATCTTCATGTTTGGAGGTTTTGGAATTTAAAACAATGGCCATTTCAATGGACACCAGAGGTAAATTGCAACTTTTTGAAGGGGAAATCCAGTGACCCAGGCTCGTTCGTTCAGGCCAATTCGAGACAAAATACCGGCGTGCATTTGTTCCGGGGAAACTTGGCGGCATCTTGCTTTTACTCGGAAACTGAAATGCAGACACTGGTGCCCGAGCTGCCAACCGGAGGGCCTGTCACCGGAGCAGCTTGCATGTTGCCGGGCTCACGGCCAGCTGCATTCGCATGTTGTTTGGGTGTGTGTGGTGTCTGAGATCAAGAGCAACCGTGGGAACATCATTCATAGCCCTATTTCAGACACCCATGTAGACGAATTTGAGAAGGCAGGTTGCAGAGCACGTCGCTTCCTTCTGGCTATCAGTTTTCTGTCAGAGTGCCAGTGGACACGGATTCGGAACTAGAACGCTTTGCTTGCTTCAAGTGTTTGTTCAATTCCCCTTCGGTTCCGGTACTGGCAGCTTGCCAGCAAAGAGGGGACACAGCACTTGCTTGCTCACCATCCAGCAACATGGAAAGTGACAGAGGGTCCTTCACAAGGCTAAACGTCCTGGAGGTCCTTCTTCCCAGAATCAATGTGAGTGGAGAGGGTCAGTGTGATGCGCCCAACCTAAACACCCTCCATCTTTGTTCCCTTGCAAACCCCGCCCTCAAGAGGGTCCCTCGTGAGCAGGCAAATGACCAGTGCAGATACCCGCGTAGGCCCTGCTGGCTCTGGAGTCGAACCTCAGCCAGCTCGGGGAAAAGCAAGGCTCGATGCTTGTTGGTTTCCTTGGGTCCAGGCCTTTGACAAATTGTGGGTCAAAGTGTAGCCACCAGGATATGGACCGCAGGCTTTAGTTCTTGGCTCCGTTTCACAGTTGCATTTTGGGTACCCAGTTGTCACCGACGCTTCGGTACCCCTGAGCCAAGTCCTTGCGGGGGGTGACCTACACTTGACCTGGGGCCAGAAAGATGGGCTCTTTCAAAGCCTGTTGAGATACATATCTCATGTTGGTTCAATGTTTTGCAGTAGCATTTGATCTCCTCGAGCTGAATTGTAAAGCTGACAAGGGTTTTCAAAGTGTTGCTGCCAAAACAGCTCGATTTGTTTCCGGAACCTCGCGCATGTGGCGCGCTGAGGTGCAGTTCGCTTTTGGTTTGCTCCAAAAGCGGTTCCGAGTTTCCTGTTGCTTCCCAGAATGGACCAACACTTCGACACCCACAACACTTCAAACCGGCAGTGTTTTGCGAGGTAGATCGACCGCAAGACGTCGTTCAGGTTGGTTGAGCCACTGGTTCTTGTTGCGGGGGTAAATAGGAAACCACCCCAAACCAATACACCGCCAATCAAAACCACCAATTAGGGGGAAGCTGAACAACGTTTACCCTATTTTTCACAACCACAGCCATTTGAAAGTCTGCTTCGGACTTCTTGAAGCTCCGGCGCCGAAGGTGCTCGGCAGCGGCAGCTGGAGCAAGACCTCACTGGGCTGGCGGCGGCACAGGGGGAAACCCGCTCGCAGCTGGACAGCGCAACAAAACGGGACGAGAGCAGGATGGACCACGAGACATGGGGCTGTTTCCATGTGGCTGTGGGTTCAAACCAATGGTACCACTTTGTGGGTGGTGGGTAGGTGCACCACCCATTTCAGAACCTATTTTAGTGGTTGGATTGGATGTTGACCCATGGCCATGTGATGTCCCTTGCAAATCATCCAAAAAGAGGCTCAACCTGTCGAGCGGTTCTCAAAATTTCTTTTTCAGGGGTGATGTGTTTTCCCTTTAAGCCTCCAGAAGAAGAAGAAGAAGAAGAAGAAGAAGAAGAAGAAGAAGCGATTTTTGAGAAACCAGCCACACACAGTCAGTACCTATATGAATGTTTCACCACTGTTGAAACCAATACATACATATATATATATATATATATACATAAATATGTATACTTGCGCCCGCTGGTATATATATATATATATGATTATTAATATATATACATATGTATACATATAGTAGCTGAAGGATTCTTTCTGTACCAGCTGTGGGAGGTACGGTTAGCTGTGGAGTCAGCCTTGAGAATGACCGTTCGCTTGCGGTACATTGACAGGTTGTCTCGCACCTCTCACAACTCGCGCGCGGCTTTTGGCGCCATGGCTGACAGCAGTTCCTTTCAAAAGATGAAGGCAAGGATTGAGCTGATTCATTGGGTGGATGTTTTTCACAACACGGAGCCGGAGCGCTCGCCCTCCAAGATCGGCTGCTGCTTGACGATGCTCATGGTGCCCGTGATCCTGATCTATGCCGTTGTTTGGTACACGGAACATCAGCGCACGCCCCCCACCGAGACGCTGGTCATCGACTGGTCGGCGAACTATGGGCCGTTCCCCATGAAGGTGCCTTTGGTGCATTTTGCCAAGAGATGTTAAGACTTTCACTTTTTGCCAACTAAACCAGTAAACCACTAAAAGTTAAAACTTAACCAACTTTTTGCCTTTGCTTTTCCATTAAACCACTGAAAGTTAAACTTTTAGCAGGGGAGCAAAAAACAACTGAGGTGCAGTGCCTCGAGGCCAGCTGCTGGCTGTGGCTGTCCGGGTGCCAAAGTGGCAGCAGCGGCCAGTGCCTGGCGCTGCAGGCGGGCGAGGAGCGCGAGCTGGAGATGTGCTTCTCCCACGGCGCCCGGGAAGGTCTCCACGCCTGGTGGTCCGGCGGCAACAGCTCTGGCGTGAAGATCTGGTCACAGGCGTCCAGCGCGCCCACGGGGCAGCTGGCTGAGGCCGGCCGGTCGTCCATGACTTACGTGACGACGCAGGACTTGACGCAAGAGCCTGGCAGTTACAAACACCAGCGCCACGAGTGGTTCGTGAACTTCCTCTCCAGGGAGGCACTGGAGCCAGAGCACAACGGCTGCCAGGAGCATAGGGCAGGCGCGCAGCTGGCGCAGATCGTGATGCAGCCAGAGTTCTACGACAAGAAGTTGGAGAAGATGGATTTCCTGGTGTCGCTCATCGGTGAGGTAGGTGGAGCCTATGGCATCGCTTTCACCGCCTTCTTCTCCATTTACGTCCTTGTGTGGAACTTGGAGATCCACTGGCGCAAGCCAGAAGCACAGTCCCCCAGCCCTGCCCCTCCAGTATCCGAGGCGCAGGACATTGAAAGAGCGGTGCTGTAGACAGAGTTGACGCATGCAGTCATCATAGACCGACCCATCCCGAAAGGAATGGATGCCGTCCAATGCTTCAAAGCTTGGCCGGTCGGGATCATTTTTCGGCTGCGTGAAGTTCGGGGGGCTAAGTACCCCTGGATGCCCTCTTGGGTTCGCTGCGAAGCAGTGACGAACCGATAATTCAAGGTGTGGCTAGCGGCTTACAGCTACTACACCGAGCGAAATCCCGACTTCTCGAGGTTTCTCTTGCTCGACTCTGGGTTCGCCATGGTTTGAACAAAAAGGACATGAAGGCACAAAGTGAGCCGAAGCAGGGGCCAGTGTCAGTTTGAACGAATTCGCCTGTCTTTAGACGCTCCCTCAAATTTCCCCCTTTTTCCATGGTAGTTGTCCACGCCCAAATGTATTTTTTTTCGAGCAGCCTCGTTCAATGGAAGCCACAGGGGCCCCCCAAAAGTGGAAGCCGAGTTTGAGAGACGCGTCTGGATCTCCAGCTCGAGAAAAGTCGGATCGATAGGAGCAGCTGGAGCAGCGAGCCAAGGTGGAGACGGAGAAGCGATCGCAGGAGAACCCCCAAGCCGACCCAAAAGCCGGGTGTGGTTCCAAAGGGAAACCAAAAGGAACACCGAGGCCATTTTTTCGGGGGTGCCCGAACAAAGACAGACCCAAACAGAAGCTTGTGAATACTTGTAATATCCATCGCGTGGATTTTATGTAACTCGCTTGAATCAATAATTTTATCATGTTAGCGACGAAGCAGGGCCTCTTTAGCTCTTTAGGGTCGCCATTTCACAATGCATTAATCCCTCAGCTGCCACAATGAAACCAGTGTTTGTTCACCATGGGGAGATGCCAAGGGCAGCTTGTGCATTCTGCACAAAAGTCGAGTGACGCGTGAGTCTTATTTCTAGTGCCTTGGGGTCAGTATTTTGACGGCTTCTGGAATTGATCGTTTGGTGCTTTCCCTTCACCACTTGGCGGGGTGACAGCGATGGTAAAATGGGTGTGGCTCCAAATTCAAAAACATACGCAGGTTTTAGTCCTTGTTTCCATTTTCCAAGCCGTTTGGTGCACCATTCTTTTGGGAGCCACCGCCTTGAATAATCTTGGTGGCTCCCAGCCATCCCCTTAGCCGTTTAGCCTTTTAGTGATTAGTGGTAGTTTCCATGAAACCCACTAAAAGTTAGTCACTTTTAGTGGGGGATCTGAGGAGCCCAGTAATGAGTAGCCAGTCCGAAGAATCCGCCCATCGCCCACCGCTACGGGCGAGCGCTTTGCGCGAGTCGAGCGTCCAGAGGAGAGCGCTGGCTGGAAGCTGGAGCTGAAGGCAGGGGTGTGGGGAAACGGGGGGGGGGGGGTAGTTTGGGGTAGATACATTTTACATTTTACCAGTGACTCCATGTGAAGCAAACAATAAAGTATACACTCTATAATTTTACCAGTGACTCCATGTGAAGCAAACAATAAAGTATACACTCTATAACTGGGCCTAACTCTAATCATGTTATTTGATGGCTATTCAGCATCATGCGACTGGTAGTTTATATAGAAGTATACGATATATATATATATATATATATATGTATATATATATATACAAAATATGTATATGTATATGTATATATATGTATATATGGAGGTTGATCAAAAGGTCCGATGAACATGGGATGACCATTAGAGGAAACCACTAAACAGATGATAGTTCCCGCTAAATGGACAAGTTACCCATGGTCATTAGGGGCCAGGAATATTGATCACCCCCCATACATGTGTACATATAGAAAGGGAAAGGACACACACCCACACAGAATGTGGCTGGTGCTGTTTCTGAAGGTCCGGAAGGTCCGGTTTGGCCCAGAATTCAGATTGCTTGTCAGGTCGCTCTGACAGCAACGAGGGATCCTCAAGTCTCACCGCGTTCCGACACCAATTGGCCTCGGACGTACACCTTTGGCGGCCTGCACCCCCGCTCATCGCATGCTCCGTAAGCTCTACAGAACTTGACCCCGGCATGCCTGAGGCAAGGGTTTCCAAGGACGGGTCTAGGGTCTTTTGCGAGGGAGGAAAGCAAAGGGCCTGTCTGAGATGAAACCATGGGTATAAGCCAGTGGTGAACGCTAAAGCGAAAGGCTGGAACGAGTTGCTGTGGTGAAATCTTTAAGACACTATCCCAAAAAGGGTGCCAGCTCTGAAAAAGTCACACAGAAATGATCAAAGTTCCTCAAACAACTCTGTGTTTGTCCAAAGAAGTCACACAGAAACGATCCTTCGTGTTTGGTCCAGTTCCTCAAAGTTCCATGGCTGTGAGGCTCTCCAGGAGTCTCTAGCGTCGGAGGAGCAGGCCAGGAAGCAGGCAAGGGGGGGGGGGTAGGACATGACCTCGGCCTATTTAGTGCTTGTTCCGATGTTTGGTGGTGAGTTTTCTCCAGTCGCAGATGGATTTTGCCGGATTTCGTGTTGGAAACTTCTCGCTGGTCCTATCCTTTTGCTCGAAGGGTTTTGGAGTGTTTGCAACTTGGCCCTGTTCTTGCAGAGAGTAGACCATCTCTTTTCGGCGCCATTCTAGTGCATGTTGCCGGCACCGTTGTCAACAGAAACAGGCTTGGCGGTGGCTAAACACAAAGTTGGCGAAGTGTTGAGTGCGACTGCTGCTTGGGTGGCACTAACTTGGCAGGGATCCCTGGCATCTACAGCCTTTTTCTGTTGGCGCTTCTCCGGCGACAGAGAGTACTGGAATTTGTGTGCTAGCTTCTTTGCCGGCTTGCTTGTTCTTGCTCGCCTGCTTGCCTGCTTTTGTTTGCCGGCTTCTCGTGTGTCCGTTTTCGTTTTTGCCTGCTTGCATGCTTGCTTGTTTGAGTGCCGGTCTTGTTCGTTTGTTGGTCTGTCTTGTCTGTTTGTTGTTTGCTTGCCTGCCTGATTGTTGGCTTGACTTTTGCTTCTTTCTTTTGTCTTCGTTTGTCCGTTTGTTCCCTTGTTTGTTCGTTTGTTTGCTTGTTTGTTTGTTCGTTTGTTTGCTTGTTTGTTAGTTGGTTTGTTCACTGTGTGTCGCGTGTCATCCAACTGCCATGAGCTAGCCCCAACAGTATCACTACAGGAATCATGGATTCTCATTCGATGGTATTTGCTCGAGATACATAAAGTAAGGACAGCTAGGAGAAGTGAAGTCTTGTTGCCTTGACTCAACCTGAGCGTGGCACAAGCAACTCGGCTGATCCCTGACATGATTGATTCTGCTTCAGTTGCAACATGAGTTTGATTGATGCATGCTGATAGCGACTCACATGTTCGACTTAAATTGCCGGATGCGGGGCAGTGCTGAAGCTGGCGATGAACAAACATCAAGTCGATTTCGCTCGTGCAGGGCTTGCAGGAGCAGTCCCAGATGTTGCAGAAGGTGCAAGTTGGGGCCTTGGGGGCTTGGATGACTCATTTCAAGAATGGGTGGTTTCCTTTTGGTTTCCTTTTGGCTTCCCTTTCAAACCAACCAAAAGTGGTACCCTCAAAAAAGACCCCCCCACCCCCCCAGACCATTTTGGAGAGCACACATGGCGACAATAATGTCTAGCAGGCAGGGTCTCCAGTAAAGACACATACCCATATGTATCCTGGGAATTTGAGACACTGGACTCATTCACAGCCATGGATTTGAGCGAGTTTTGCTGCCTGCGTTTGAGTTCTGCCAAAGTTGCATTGCAGCCGCTGAGCCCCCAAAACCTGGAATGGTCCTAGCAGGGTGTCATCTTCTGCACAGTTGCATCAAATCCTTTCGTTCACTTTGCGTATGGTTTCCTGTATTCCTGACGAACTCTTTCGAAGTCACTTGCCCTTGCATGGAGACTTCCAGCTGGTTGGCTTCGGAAATTGCGGTTCAGCGGGGATTGGATTCACTCACAGGCATCCGTTTAGATCACATGGCAACATGGGGATACCTGGTTCTTTGGATGCGTGTGTGGGTCAAAGTTAAGCCACCAGGGGACCGCAGGTTTTAGTCTTTGGTTCCATTTACCAGGGTTCCATTGTGGGTACCTATTTTGACCCACAGCCGTGTAAAACACGCGTCAATCTCGCTCATACGGACTGGCGATGGAGTCTCTGGTGACCGGTGAGACGCCCCAACCAGGTGGTACTTGTCAGGATCCGTTCGAAGTGGAGGGAGACGAGTCAGGTGAGGTACCACAATCCCATGAAAAAAAACAAACCTGTGAGGTACCAAAACCGCATTGAAAAAATGATAAAACCGTGAGGTACCAAACACCCATGAACAACGCCAGGTTTTCGGTCGGAGGTTTGCTCCACGAGCGAAAATTCCAGTCGCTAGGGCGAGCTGAAGCTCGCGCTGCAGGGCGCCTGCGACAAGCTGCAGGCCGGCCCAGAGTTTTACGGGTCAATCAGGGGCGTGTTCTTTCCGTTCTATACCACGGATATGGAGATATGGAGATATGGAGATATGGAGATATGGAAATATGGAGATATGGAGATATGGAGAGAACGGATATGGAGATATGGAGATATGGAGATATGGAGATATATGGTGAGCAGCCTCGGAAATGGAGATATGCAGCCCACATATTTTCATGTGCTTGAAAGAGAAGAGCGGCGTTCAGCAGCGACTACATAGTCATGAAAGCCTGGTCATTCTGTGGGTGGACGAAATCCTGCACCACCAAAGAAGTCCTTGAATGATGATTCCCCTTGTAAATGCCGACAAACAATGGTTTCCCATGGTTTCAAAGTGATGCGAAATGGATTTCGTCCATCCTCAGTTTCAATGGGCAGCTTCTTCAACGCGTCATGAGTGGCCTCGCAAGCTTTATTCGGGCCATTGCAGTCAGACGGCTGCTCGCGCGTTGGAAGCCCGTTTTGACTTATTTGGGTCGTGCCTAAATTTAGCTTGTCATGGGACCGGGTGATATGGCTGTGGGTCGAAACCAATGGTACCATTTTGGGGTAGGTGAATTCACCACCCATTTCAGAACCTATTTTACTATTGGGATGTTGATTGGGGGTACGGAATTTTGACCCGTGGCCATGTGTGGGTCTCTGGGTCTCTCCCTTTGAAAGTCAGCTCTTCTTCTACATGGCGTGCTCCCCCAAGGGTTTCCCCACACAGGAGCAGCGCGGCTACGGAGCAAGATTTCCACCGCAAATCTTTCAAAGAAGTTGAGACGAATGGAAATGGAGGTTTTTGACGAACTTTATCCCAGCTACACTTTCTTCGCTCATTTACTCCCTGATGCTGGAATCTTTCCACAAAGGCGGAAATCCTGACATAGTTCACTGCTTCCGTCTCTTGAGCAAACATTTGAGCAAGCAGCCCAATCCACGGCAGGGGGTACCTTCCCCAGACTAGCATGGAAGCTCGCAGGACCGCTTTGCAAGACTTGGCTCCATTTGCAGGATCGGCCTTCTGCAGCTTCCGGCTGTGAGTCGGGAGTATCTTGGTGGTGGTTTCCTGAATTGTCAGCCCATGTTCATGGGACCTTATCAACCCCCACATGGCTCCACTTGCTTGGGGAAGGCGAGGCACTCGAGTGAGCTCTCTGCGCTGCAGAAAGAGGCGCTGATGGGACCGGTTTGGGGGTTGGGTCTGATAAAGTCTGGTTAGGTCTGGTAGGGTCTGGTAGGGTCTGGTAGGGTCTGGTAGGGTCTGGTAGGGTCTGGTAGGGTCTGGTAGGGTCTAGTAGGGTCTTGTTTGCCTGGGTTTGCGTGTGGAAAGATGGATTCTGGACTGGCCATTGGGGTACTTGGCTGTTCCAATGTGTCTCTGACTTGTATTTGACACTGCACGGGTCTTGGCCAACTGATCCGTGAGCACATTGCTTCTATCTCGGATTGGGAGACTTTGAGATGTGTTTTCCATCGGCTCATTCGAGAGACATTTGGAGTTCAAATGAAGCCCAGCCCTGGAATTCCATGAGCCGCTCACTTTTTCTCATCGGACGCTCTGGCGCTTTTTTCTCTTCGGAGTTTTGTGGAGGTGGCCGCAGATTCTGCTGCCAAGAACAAGAGGCTGGAGGAGACCGAACATGTTCTCAGTCTGTGGGATTCGCACACCCAGGACCAAACCACCAAGGCAGGAAGAGGAAGGAAGGAAGGAAGGAAGGAAGGAAGGAAGGAAGGAAGGAAGGAAGGAAGGAAGGAAGGAAGGAAGGAAGGAAGGAAGGAAGGAAGGAAGGAAGGCAGGCAGGCAGGCAGGCAGGCAGGCAGGGAGGGAGGGAGGGAGGGAGGAAGGAAGGAACGAGGGAAGGAAGGAAGAGAGAAAGAAGGAGTCTCGTAATTTGGTCCCTCTGATCACCGTGCGAACGCAAACTGTCCAGCCACGCCAGCCGTCCTTTGGAAGTGAAGACTGGGGATTTTGGGGCAGACAGCTTACCCGACAAATAACATGCGCAGAATGCGTGTTTTCAGCTTGGGCCAGGCCAGAGCAGTGAAATGGCGCATGTCTTGCGCATGTTTCCTCCTAATCTCTAAATTGTCACTCGCTTCGCCTCGGCAACCACGCCATCCTGCCTTTGGGAGCTAAGATTGGGATGCAGGGGCAGGCAGCGAGCCCAAGAAACAAAGAACGCGTGCCTTGGCTTGTCCGGCTAGAAGGTAATCCTACTTTTTCCGTCAACGTTTGGCCGACTTGCATCATTACTGACGTTGGCTCTTTCGATCTAACTTTATGATCACTTTGTGTCATTGTTTCCGTCTTTGCCCCACGGGTCTCGCAAGCATCCACCTGGGTTCGGGATTGCGATTCGGGATTCAGGGCCCCCGGCTCTAGACTTAGGATTGGGATTCTGGGTTCGGGGTTGGGGGCTCAGGATTTGCTAATCCGATGTATCTACTTCTCTCCACAGAGCGGATTACTGGTGGTAAGGGGGGCCGAGGGGGACACACTTTCAGAATGCGTCGGCAACTTACGGACTGCGAGCAAAGTACTGCCCGAATGTGCAGTCTGCAGTGGTCTCTGCTGTGGGGCAGGAGGTGTTGGGCAGGAATCGTCAGAAACTCCGCAAGGCGTCGCCGGAATGTGGGTTCTGCATGGATCCCCCGCGCTCAGTGAACATATTGCTTCGCACCTTCAACTTGCGAATCTGCCAGAGCCATCCATTCCAGGACAAGGTGGGAGTCCTGCAAGAGCAGCTGCAGACGCAAAGGCGCCGGGCAAAGCCTTGGCCTTCCTTTGATGAAATCGACTAAAGGTGGCTAAAGTGGCACACCGCGATTTGTGGACCCCATGATATTGTTCCCCCCCCCTCCCACTGAAGTTGCGTACTTCTCATTTCTGTTTGATTCTGGTGCTGGCGTGGCTTCCGAGTTGGCAGCCCATTCAAACGTCCCCTTTCCAAGGGACAGCGGCGTCCCTTTTGGGGTCTGGATGCCCAGGGAGGCGCTGCGCTTCCATGCAAGTCACCCAAGGAGCAACCATAGGATGCTTGAGCTATGCGGTGAACGGCAGCTATTTTCAAACCCAGAGCGACAGCTGTGGGGCCTTGGCCAATCCTGGGTTCCTTTTTTCGATGCTGTGGACACTTGGGCCTTTCGCAAAGGAAATGGCCCGGAATCATGTTGACAAGGTGAGGAGAGCAGTTGGGGCAACGCACAGGGAGTGACGATCCTGGGTGCAAATGTCATGGCAGCCCCCGGTCTGACTCAAGAAGCAATGAAGCAATCCAGTGCCAGAGCCCTGTATTATTAACCAGGCTCCCGCCTGCTGCCGCCGACCCTCGGCGCATTAAGGGAAAAGTCACAAGGACCGGTCCTGAAACACGTCCGCAAACCCAGGGACCACTTATAAGATCCTCTACGACCACAAACAAGGATTAACGGAAAAGTCAGAAATAGGGCAGCTAGTCCGTTAATTACCGCTTGGGCCGGCTTGCGCCCAAGTCACTTCGAGTTGGCCCGGGAGCAGTCGCCTCTCCCGGGGTCGCCCTGAAACTGGCCCTCCCGAAGTTGACCACAAACAAGGATTAACGGAAAAGTCAGAAATAGGGCAGCTAGTCCGTTAATTACCGCTTGGGCCGGCTTGCGCCCAAGTCACTTCGAGTTGGCCGGGAGCAGTCGCCTCTCCCGGGGTCGCCCTGAAACTGGCCCTCCCGAAGTTGCCCTGGACCGGTCGCCGGCAGGGACCGGGACTTGGGACCCTGTCCAGGCTGGTCCCAGTCTGGCGCGGTTTGACTTGACGTATTGGACTCTCTTGCAGAACAGATCCAGGGATCCTCTACTACCACAAGGACGTCAATAACCGCACGGGCCGGTTTGGTCGCACGGAGTGACAACCTGGGACCCTGTCCAGTGTCCTGGGTGCCAGTCCGGAAACGTGTCTGGAGCGGTTTGAGGTGGCAGCACAGCAGTTTCAATTGGGACCCAATACCAGCGGTCACACCAGGACTTGATCCCGGACCGGCTTCCCAGACCGGTCCCAGGACTGGTCCTGCAACCGGTCCCGGGACCGGTCCCAGGACCGGTTTTGGCTGACTACAAGCAATCTGAAACAGCAGAACCAGGGTCCCAGGACCAGTCCCAGGACCGTCCCAGGACTGGTCCCAGGACTGGTCCCAAGACCGGTCCTGGGACTGGTCCTGGGACCGGTCCTGGGACCGGTCCGGGACCGGTCCCAGGACCGGTTTTGGCTGACTACAAGCAATCTGAAACAGCAGAACCAGGGTCCCAGGACCAGTCCCAGGACCGTCCCAGGACTGGTCCCAGGACTGGTCCCAGGACCGGTCCCGGGACCGGTCCCTGGGAATCCAGTCCCCCAGGGACTATCATTGATTCCAATCACTTCCAGTTGCATCCCACGCCGGTCCCCTCTGCAGGAGGCTGGGACGGGAGGCAGAGGGTCGGCGGATTTGTCAAAACCACCGGTTGCGAAGGCACTTCCTCCCGCTCGACTCGTTCGGCTGGCTGGCAAAACGCCAGGTCAGAGCAGGAGAAAGAAGCTGCGCAGCAGCTGCAACGGGTGCAGGACCCGAACGGCAGATCCAAGGTCAGGGGAAAAGATCGCCCATGGGTGGATTCCTTTTGGACTGGGTTTGGACACCCTGCTTTTTTTTGGCTTCCCATGTCAGCCCAAGCTGTAGTCGCAGTAGCCAGAAATCAAAGGGGTGAGTGGATCACGCTGGTAAGCTTGGATATGGCGTGCAAAGCCAGGGACGTAAACCAACACAAAGCAAGAGCTTGGGACTGATTCCGAAACGGGTTTGTCTTTCTTCGGGGAACCCTCTTATACCCACCATTTTGGGGGGTCCACCCTCAAAAAGACGAGCTACACACATCATTGCCGTGATTGGTGACCAACAATGTTCCACGTCAGACACCTCAGCATGTTACACGCTGTTGGGCACAAGAACCGTGGAAAAGCTGGGCACCTTCCGACCAAAAAGAGGCATGGCTCTACGACCATTGAACCTGGCTCTTTGCCCCAATCCAAGTCATTCCGGTATTCGGGTTCTGATCACTAAGGATGTTTGGGTGCAACTCCAAGTGCCGTCCTGCAACTGAGTCAGGAGTTTGGATCATCTGAATCCGACGCGTAGCTGTGGCCACGCGACTCGGACGCGGCTCAGGACATCACGGCGACCCTTGGCTCTACGAGTTCTGAGGTGAAGAGGCTCGAGCGGCTCTGAATGTTTTGGCCCGCGGCTCGCAAGTCGAAATGTTGTTGGATGCGCTTGCTCTGTGCGTCTTCCGTGTTTTGCAACACGAGAAAAGGGCCACAGCTTGTGTGGTTCATGTCATGTGACGGCGCGCAACAGTTATTTCAGAAGTTTATGATGGAAAGCACGCTCTACCATTCAGCCTGGCAAGCGGAACCTTTGCGGTGTGACTTCCTTGCAGCTATGTGCAGGTTGATGTTCAAGGTGATCTGTTGCGCTAGACACTTTGTATGGACGTATAGTTGATCAACAGCAGATGTGCCTCCCGCGGTTTTGTACTGCTTTAGACGTTTTGCGCGTTTACTGCGCCAGCTAAATATCATAAGCACGTTTGGCACAGTATTACATAGAGAGGCCTCTGCTACACTTTTGATACATCGGCTAGCATGTGTCTTGGCCTATTTTGTTCACCAGCGCACATCGCCAGTGCAAGTCACCATCACCATCTGGTCGGGTCACCATGCCTCCTCGCGGTTCTTGCCTTGCACATATGGGTGTGTGCTTTTTGAGGGTACCCTTTTTACCCGGGTTTAAAGGGGGACCAGAAGGAAACACTGCCATTTTGGGGCCCTATTTTGACACACATATTCTGTGTATAATATATATATATATAGGAGTTCACGTCTTGATCTGCCCATCTATCCAAAGCGACACTGTACAGGCTGCACAGCCAACCCAAACACATGTAGTGTTATACCCCCCATCCCAAGTCGGGCCTACGCCCTAGTCGGGCCTAACAGCTTGACTGCCATTGGGCCGGATCTTTAGACTTTAACCTTTTGGGAAATGAAGTGGTTTTCCACTAAACCCACAAAGAGTTGAACACTTTCTGCAGAGGGGTCAAACAGCAACCAAGTTTCTTAAGATTGGTAGATAGTCAGCGGCCCGCCTCCGGTTGCCAGGCAGAAGGAGCAGCTCACCGAGCTGAAGCAGCAGCAGTCGCAGTCGGCAGTGGATCTCCAGAAGCTGCATGCCACGGCGGAGGCGCAGGGCTGCCATGGGCGGAGCGCTGGGGGCTCTTCCTTTGTTCTTTTTTGGGCTTTGCAACTTGAGGACATTTGCAGGGTACCCTTCAAAAAGACCTTGTGATTTGCGGACCCTGTCTGCACTTCTATTTGCCGATTTGTCTAGCTTAAACTCTTGTTGGTGCAAACCCTGGCCCCAAAGGACACGGGGGCTCAATTTCATGTTTGGCGGTCAAAACCAGACAAGGAGCTGGCCGTGGCGGGAGTTTTGTTGTGGACCTGGCGGCTGGTGTGGGCTCAGTAGATTCGGTCAGGGTTGTGGGCTGTTGTATCACAGAAGTGGTTATTTCCCACAGCCCTGGATTCGGTTGCAGGTTGCAAGCTGGTAGACAACTTGTCGGCAGGGTGCTGCTTGAATCCTACCGGATCGATCCTGAGATTCTCTGCTTCGCATCTGAGCCCAGGGCCTGCAGAAGGATATGGCACAGGAGGCGGGGCTTTCTGGAGAGCAGACTGAGTGACTGGCCAGATTGCGCGGGTACTCCCTGGTTGCACATGTGAAACATGTAGCAGTGGTTGTCAAAACCGTTTTGGGATCCCATTTTGGGGTAGGTGAATTCACCACCCATTTTAGAACCTATTTCAGTGGGGATTGGGATGTTCACTGGGGGTACGGGCTTTTGATCCATGCCCATATGAGGAGACTTCTGTATGCCCTTTATTACTGACCCATCAGTTTCTGGGGATGGGTGACTCACCCACGTTGCCAAACATAAGAAGTGCCCTAGCCTTCTAGCTGACCGCTGGAGGTTGGCTACGGTATGAGTCGGTTTGGTTTCCAGAAAGCAAACTTGTGGAATTGCTTTTGGTTCGGTGTCCGCCGGATCTATCCGTCGGTTCGGTTGCCCGGTGATTGAAGTGAGTCCAACTGTGTATTGTTCAATTGCCAACGCAGGAGGACCAAACCTTCCAGCTTCCCAGCAGAAAATGCCGACCTTCCAGCTTGACCGCGAATGGAACAAGTTGTGGGATCCACGAAGCCAAAGTACTTAGTTCTATTCATTCGTCTCCCTTCCTTCGTTTCCCGGAGAATCCTCGTGCTTCGAGTCGAAGTACCTGGGTCCGGACTCGTTTTAGTATGGTCGACCCGTACCTCTGGTGGTGTGCGACAGGTTTAGCTTCCAGCCATGTTCAGCGGTTCGGTTCGTAAACGCTTCCTTTGGTGTGGCTCCACGGGTTTCGTTTGGGTTTTCGGTTCCTTGTGGTAGGCATGTTTGCGTGGGGGTACCGTTTCCTTGGTTCGGCGTAGGTATTGATTGCGAGGCAACCATCGCACCTTTTCGGCTTGTTTGTTTTATCCGGACGTTGGGTTTGCCCAGAACCTGTTTCAGTGCGAAGTATTTCTGCAACTGGCATGTTGCAGAGGTGACCTTTCGCAGGGAAACGACACACTGGGCGTCTTTGTCGTGTTCAAATGCAAGTTTGCTATTTGGGAGTGACAACCCCTAAGCATAGTGACAACCCCTGCGTGTTTGGTCTGGAACACATAGAAACCTTGCTCATGAACGACACACACACACACATTCGTTCCTGGGCAAGAATGTCAGACATGTGCCGAAGGATGAGGCTTGACTTTTGCGGGTTTGGCCGCGGGCTCAAAACAGGGTACCCCTCCAGGTTCTCGCACGGCTCCCTCTTGCCACGTTGGGCATCTCAGGCGTCGTCTCTGAAGAGCCTGTGGGAGGACGTCCAGAAGCTCCAAACGAGGAGCATCCGCCAGAAGGAAGTAGGGAGTCAGAGAGAGGCGCAGGGCCGCCAGGGCCAACCCTCAGACACGTCCTTTTGGTTCTCTTTGGAGCCAGGGTGCGCTTGTTTTGACGCAACTTGCCCAAGACTAAGAGATACAAGCTGAAGCTTCCAATGCTTCTGAGCTTCTCAATGTCAGATGGGGTGGGATCATACCGTTTGCCGTTTCCCGCATAGGAGCGAGGAGCAGAAAGCTGACACCATTCAGATCAGGCGAGGCCGCTACCATTTGGAGACGTTTGGCTTTGCATATGGGAGACAGGAGCCGAGGTGCAGACGTGAGGTCAGATAGGTGAGGCACTCAGATCCCCATGTTCGAAGTGAAGTATGCTACAACAGTCACCTCCCATTTCAGGAATGTAAGACATGGTTACTTGGTTTTCCAACCCCCCCCCCCCAAAGCTCCAAAGCGCCGCGCCCTCAGTACAATTGGCAAACCGAGCCAAAAGAATGCGATCATCGGCAGCCACCTTAAGGGGGCGCTTGCGGCGCGGTGTTCACGGCTTTGCAGCGGCACGCAAGTCCCTTGGGTTCAAGCGGAGTGGCTGCATTCCGTTCGCAGCGATCTCCGAATGGGTGTGCCTCGTTTGCTAGAAGACCCCCCAAAGTGGCTTCGGCGTTCCTTTCTGATGTCCTTCAAAACCGCCAAACAAGGGGCACCCCCCCCCAAAACAGACGAGCCACCCAAGTGCCAGGGCAGAGCAGGGCACTGCCGCACAGCGCCAACGCTCCCTTGAGGCCGAGGGTTTGCCCTTCCGATTGGGCCAAGTCGACCGGGGGTGGGACCAATATTCCGCTCGGGGTTGCTCACTATTCCATTTAGGGCCCGCAAATGAGCATGGGTAACTTTTCCCATGTGGGAAAATATCTTCTTGGTGGTTTTCCCCAATCATCCCATGAAAAAGGACCTTTTGATCAACATCCAGCTGTCAAGGGCTACTTTGTGCAAGACATGGTGTTTTCTTGTAGCACCTCGCGGCATGCATTGCACATGAACGCGAGTTCAAGCAGCACGTCGAGGGAGCTCGAATACGCCGATGGTCAATGCTCCCGACCTCGGTAGAAATTCAAGCAGGGTCTGGTTGCCGGGCTGGATCTGAGATTATCCTGTGGAATCGACAGCCCTACGGATCCGATCCTGGGAAGCCTTGCGAACAGCACCACGCCTTCTAGAAGCGCCCGTCGTTGGGCTTGCCTTTGGCAGAAGCGCGCGCGCGCCTGAACGTGCCTTGTTGACATGATGAGGCAAACTGCCTTGCAAAGACACGTTGGTTTTAAACTGCACGTTACGGGCTTTTCGTTTGGGGCCATGCAGATGAGAGGCAGCCGCCATTTGGCAAAAGGACTGGCCCAACTTTTGAGCATCAGACGGTCCCAACCTTCAATTTGATATGACTTTAAATAGTGAATACTTTCCAAAAAGGTTGGGGGACACGAACTTCCATGTTTTTCAGATGCCCACAAATGGCTCCCCAATTGAGATTCCTCGCCAAACCATTTTTTCGACTTTTGGGGCGCGGGTCGCAAACAACCCGTGCCATGGCTCCTGTGCCAGTCCTGGAGCAAGAGCTGTGACGCCAAGGCAGGGTTGAAGAGCAGCTCGCCCGATTTTCTGTTTTTGCCGCGGGGGTTCGGGGATGGCAAATGTGTCCATGCACGAGGACATGTTGGGAGTGGACCGGACTTGTTTTCGTCAATGGATTCTTGGACAGCTTTTGGTCCGATGAGGTTCGTTCACTGCGCAAGCACTTTGTAACATTGATGCATATGGCAAAGAGAAGATCAGCAGCTTCAAGAACCACCAAGCTCCCAAGATGCTTAGCCTTAGGCACCTCGGTGACCTTTTCCCTGGCCTAGGTTTCGCACCTCGGCAGCCAGCTGCTAGAAGCACGGGCTGTCGGGAGCCCGGCAGGTAAAGCCTCCAGGTGCCGTGCTGGTTTCCTTTTGGTTGCGCCTCCGAAAAGGGGTTGCCCAGATGGCACAGAGGGCTTTTGAGACGTTTCACATGGTTTGGCACGGGTCAACAAATTAAACCAGGAATTGGGCCGGGCTAAATCGTCCATGTTTCCATTTACCAGAAACAACCCATTTTGGGTTTACCCTAAACTTGACGACCACATGTCGAGTTGGTTGGCCGGATTTTCCACCGACACGCGCCGCTGGTTCTCGGGGAGCTCAGGACCTGGAGCGTGCCGTGCAGACCCTGGAGATGGAGCTGCGCCGGGCGCCCAACGCCATCCGATGATGGCCAGCCATGGGTCGACCTCCAAATCGTACCAGCGAACATCATCCAATCCCCACTAAAAAAACCAGAAAAAAGGGTGGTGAATTTCACCTACAAAATGGGACCCTTGTGGTTTTGACCAGGCATTTCTATGACCGTGGCCGATGGAAATGATCTGCCTGTTGTCAGCCGCATGTCCAATGGTTCAGATGTCAGGGAGATGGAAAAGCAGCTTGGATTCTAGCCGACTTCGGCAAACTAAAGTGCGGGAGATAGGTGATCTCTTCTGGGTTGCTCAAGTTGAAGTCGGGTTTGGCGAGGTTGTGGTTTCCGACAACCGCATGGCAGGAGCGAGCATTTCCAGGCATCGTAGTTGGACCACGCGCCATAGACGGCCGTGTGTTTTCGTTGATTTTTCAGCCGGCGGGGGGGGGGGGTATGGGGTGGCGGGGGGGGGGGTGATCTCGGACTCGTCCACAGCGTTCATGTTTGTCTTCAGTTTTGGTTCAAATGTACCTTTCCGAGGATGCTCGTCTTGCCTTAGGTCTCGTCCTGATCGTGCGCTGTGCTGGCTCGTCCCCTCTTTTCCGCTGCCACCCAATCCTGGATCCTGTTTTTGCTTGCTGTGTGCCCTGAACACCTGGACTCTCTCTTTGACGTGGTGACGCAAACCCCGCCGTGTTTGTCGCTCGTGGCGGAGATAGTCTTGCTGCCTCATCGGTTTCCACTGGCCTTTGACTCTCTTGGCCTTTGCTTGCCTGTGCTTTGGTCTGCTTATTGCTCCGTCTTGAGGCGTTCTGCGTGTTTTCCGCCCTCTCGCTTAGTCTCGCTGGCGTTCTGCCTCCACGTTGTCTCGAACCGTCTGCTCGGTGCCCGGCTGCTAGCCGTTATCCCCGCGCGTGGCCCGGCCATGGCCGCTCAACCTGACGACGCATGTGCTGGACCTTCTTCAGTTCGCCCCGCCGGGCGGTCCCGGACTCCGCCGCCAGCACATTCTCGGGAGCCTTGCCTGCCGTCCCGGACTCCGCCGGACGGATGCAGTCAGCCAGTGGAAGAAAACGTGTTGCCAGGACTGCTCCATGGTGACACATCAGATGGTTGTCGCAAGATGGTGGTCGCATCAGTATGCAGAATTGATATATTTTGATGAATCGACAACATTTTGTGAAATCGGCAGTTAGTTTGCGGGATTCCGTGAAAGCATGTTGAAGTTGCAATTCTATTGGTGGAAGCACTGGTTTTGCCAATTCCCACTGGAATTGCAAGCGCAGAGATTGAAGCAACACCGATGCATGAAAAACCATAGGAATATCAATGTTTTTGACCGCTTCGCTGCTGCGAGCATGACCAAAAACCCACGGCCATCTATGGCGCGTGGACCTAGTTACCCTTCACGGCCGGCGGTGGGCAAACCAACGGAAACGAGCGCGCTCAAAGGGCTCAAAGGGCTGCAAAGAAAAGGGGTGTGTGGTAGTTCCTTGACTCCCTTCTGGAGAAACCACCACCTCCAGACATGAAGAGGCGAAAAACCATGCACCGCCTGACTGTGCGAGGCGAGCAGAACCTGCGAGGGGATGCTGCGCGACAGCAGGCAGGCGGTTGGTCGCTGGGGTTTGGCAGCCAGACGCCCTCCAGTCGCCATTTTGCGTGCTGGCCCTTGGATCCAGCACTCAGACCACTTTTTGGAGGGAACATCGGAACACCCCCCAAAAACATGGGACGGGCTTCTGAATCCTGGGTTAGCATTATCTTGGTGCTCGTCCCCTCCGAGACGCAGGCGGCCGAGCAGTTTGCCACGCTGCGGCGGGAGGCGCAGGCGGCGCAGGCACAGCAGGCGGCCGCCCAGGCAGCCGTCAAGGAGGCGAGGGTTTGGAGGCAAAGCCACGTGAAAAGATGACCTGGGCATGGGTGTGGGTCTTTGGGTATCAATCCACCGGAGTTTCAATCACACCTCTTCCTTCTTTTTTTTTCATACCCTTTTAGGTGTGGGTGAAAATTGAACCAGGAATTGGAGCCGCAGGCATTAAAGCACTTAGGGCAACCAAGTTTGGGGTTATACAAGTTTTGACCACCATAGACTTTGAAAGACCTGGTGAGTCAGCTGGGTAATATGAACTTTCGCCTTCGGGATCGGAGTGTTCGTGTTGGGTGCGTGGTATTTGGGACCCGCGATGGCTGCAGCGGCAGAACTTACCCGCGATGGTTCTTGCAGTCCCCAAGCTCCCACCCCAGGCCCATAGGGCAAGTCCTTCCTTTTTGCGTGTCTCGCAGTTTGGAGCCGAATGTAAACATTGGATCATTCAAGGCTTGCATACCCGCAGTATATATATATATATATGGTACAGCGTTGCCAGTCCCTTTTCCCCCCCCTCCCCCAATGGTCATGTGTCAGACAAGTACCCCCCCCCCAGCCTGTGGTTGTGGTCCTGTGGTTGGGTTGTGGTGGTTTAGGGTTGGTTTAGAATTGGTTTAGGGTATATTGAGGGTGTATTTAGGGTTGGTTTATGTTGATTTAGGCTTGGTTTAGGGTTGGTTTGGGTTCAGAGGTGTACGGTTTAGAGTTTGGTTTAGGGTTTGGTTTAGGGTGTATCTAGGGTTGGTTTAGGGTTAGATTAGGGTTGGTTTATGGTTGGTTGCGGGTTGGCTTGTCCTGGGGGTGTGGGTCGGAGTGGGGGTTGGGACCGTAGGTGCCAGGATCCGGGGGCTCGGGGTCTCGGGCCGGGGGGTGGGGGTGGGGTAGCAACACGGAACACGGGACCATATATAGGTATTTTTTGTTCACATGCATGAGTGAGCTTGAGACTTGAATGGGTGTCGGGACACGACAGGTGACATAGCGCTGTTACCCGCAAACCGCAAGTGCGCACAGACTCGCCCAAAGAGGCGGGTGCAAGAGTGGGTGACAGTTCAATCAAGCATTCGGAATCATCGATCCAAGCCATCCATCTTCCAACGCTTTGATCCCATCCCAGGGTCGCCCGATGTCGCAAGGAGGCTGCAGCGCAGTGCGGCAGCTTGGAGAAGTCGCTGGAGGTGTTGCGCCAGAGTTGGGATGCCCAGAGGTCCGCGGAGCAGGCACACCAGGCGGCATCGGGATGGGAGTGGGGGCAATCCACTGTGGCGACGGCCAGCGTGAGACTGCTTGGACGAAATCCTGCACCACCTAAGAAACCCCTTGAAGGATGATTCCCCTGTAAGTACCAGCAAACAATGATTTCCGATGGTTCTTAGATGGTGCAGGATTTCGTCCATCCACAGTTTGGCGCAAAGCTTCGAATGTCTTAGAAGCCGAAGAGCGGCCACATGGGGTGTGAGACTGACTGTTTGCAAGCGCAGCAAACTTGAAGTCGCTGAGAACTCTTTGTGCTCGAACACAAATCAGAATGAGGTTTCCTCTCATGTGCGATCTCTCTGTCTTGGTGAAAGTGGGCGGATCACTCAGATATTGTTTTCTTTTTCTTGTTTTCTTGTCATTTTTTTGGCTTTTCATCAAACAAATGGTTCCCTCAACATGGGGCCAGAGAATCGACGACTGGATTTTTGGCTTTGGCGGTCCGTCCGTCCGAAGCCAGGGCCAAGTGGAGCAGCGGCTGGGGCAAGGGCTGGAGCGCCTCGCCCGCCGGGCTGCCGGGCCGGCGAACGCGTGCGTCGGTGATTCCCAGGCATCCGGTTCCTTAGGCTTTGGTTGGGCGGGCCATGTGTTTTGGTTAGGTGGCCGAAACGGTCAACACCGTTTTTGGGATCCCATTTTTGGCACCACCCATTTTAGAGCCGATTTTCGTGGTTGGATTGGGATGTTCACTGGGAGTACGATTTGGGTTTTGACCCATAGCCAGGTGACGCCATTTCTCGGTGGTGTCCAGCCATGTGGTTCCTGAAGCTCTTAGATCTTTTCAGTGGTTTGGTGGTCGGACTTCCATTTAAGCATCTGAAAGTCAAACTTCCCGCGGGGCATTTGAGGACAGCCCTGCTAAGACTAGGTTGGTGTCCTCTTGGCTTGCCTTTGAAAGCCAAACATTTGCTAGGAGCTCGAGTTGCCAAAAAGGGTAGCAACTCTAAAGAAGACCAACCAAAAGAAAAAACGGAAAAGGGCCATGGGTTGTTTCTCACATGGGTTTTGGCTCTCCTGAATCTTTGGGGAAGCCAAAAGGGTACCTTTGACGTCTCAAGGCCTTGAGAGCCAAGAGGCGGCGATGGAGGCCCACCACAAGGAGGACCGAAGACTTGTAGGAGGTTGTGTCACTCGAAGGGTTGGGTCACAGGCAGAATTTCTGGAGAAAACCGCCTACCTGGAGTCTCCATGACTTAAAAATGGGTCCATGACCCCATTTTGGGTCATGACTCATGACCAACCATTTTTTAAGGGTCATGGAGGCTTCAGGTATTTACGGCGTTTTGGTGCCATGCCCCGATTCTTCTGTATACCAAACTCTTTGAGTCGCGAATGGGGTTCGCGGAAGGCGCCAGTTGACCAGATTCGCCCTTGCCGCAGGTCATCCGCTGCACCCAAACCAAGGGGGCTTTCCGGGAAAACGGGGTGCTGGCGAATGCTGGCTTCTGCAAATCCGCTTTTGGACTGATTGAACGAGCTTGGGCAAGCCTCATCTATGCATCATCCTCGATCAGGCATTTCAGAGCCCCAAGTGTGTCCGACACCAACGACCGGGCCACAAATGAGCCACACTCAAAAAGCTCTCTTTGCCGTTGTCCGGCAATGCTGTGGATAGCCAGGTCAAAGCTCCGGTTGTCACCATTCAAGTGCATACAACTAGCTGATTGTTGCTAGACGCAGGCAATGCTGGCACCCTATCCCTTCCAAAGCAACTTTCTTTAATCCGCTCAGCCCGCAAAGACAACGCATGTGTCCCTACACTGCAGTAGCCAAGCCTCTCTCCCAGAAGCGCTTTTGGCGCGAATCCCAAAGCCCCACACGGACCACACGGACCACACGGACCACGCGGACAAGAACAATAACAGCGACAGAATTGTTGAAAAGAGTCAGTCTTACTCTAAACAGCGATTTGTGCGCCTAGAAAACATTGGTCGCGTGCGCTGCGTGGGTCTTCTGCCTCCAGCGGTCTCAGACCAGGAGATTGTCGCCTTCGAGGCTCGTGCGTGCAAGTCGCTTGCTGGTTTCACCAAGGAATGCTCCATTGCAAGAGGATATCCACTTGCGGACAATCTACCCTCTTTACAGTTGATGTCGACCCCGGATGACCACACCCCTGTCTATAAATTAATATGGGGGTGTCCCTGCTTTTAATGGTTCGCATTTGAGCACTGTAGTGGTCGCATACCCACCCCATCTCGCCATGGCGGTGGGCTCGAGGCGGAATCCTCTTGTGACACAGAAGCGCCCGCTTCGGCTCAGGCGGAGGTGTCTGCCACGCGCTCCGAGCAGGTTGGGGAGTCGTATTGGTGTCGCCATTTCGTCACATCTCTTGGTCTATATGTTTCTCCCTTTATCGTTATCCGTGTTTCCCTCTTCTTCGCCCGTTTTTTCTTCTCTCTCTCCTCCTTCCTCCTCTTCTTCTTCTTGCTCTTATTTCTCTCTTTCTCTCTTTCTCTCTTTCTTTCATTCTTTCTTTCTTCCTTCCTTCCTTGCTTTCTTTCTTTCTTTCTTTCTTTCTTTCTTCCTTCCTTCCTTCCTTCCTTTCTGTCTGTCTGTCTTTCTTTCTTTCTTTCTTTCTTTTTTTCTTTTTCTTTCTGTCTTTCTTTCTTTCTTTCTTTCTTTCCTTTTCTTTCTTTCCTTTTCTTTCTTTTCTTTTGTCTTTCTTCTTGCTTCCTTCCTTCCTTCCTTCCTTCCTTCCTTCCTTCCTTCCTTCCTTCCTTCCTTCCTTCCTTCCTTCCTTCCTTCCTTCCTTCCTTCCTTCCTTCTTCCTTCCTTCCTTCCTTCCTTCCTTCCTTCCTTCCTTCCTTCCTTCTTCCTTCCTTCCTTCCTTCCTTCCTTCCTTCCTTCCCTGTCCGTCCGTCCGTCCGTCTGTCTGTCTGTCTGTCTGTCTGTCTGTCTGTCTTTCTTTTTCTCTTTGATTGCTATTGTTTTCTTTCTCTCTCTCTCTCTCTCTCTCTCTCTCTCTCTCTCTCTCTCTCTCTCTCTCTCTCTCTCTCTCTCTCTCTCTCTCTCTCTCTCTCTCTCTCTCTCTCTCTCTCTCTCTCTCTCTCTCTCTCTCTCTCTCTCTCTCTCTCTCTCTCTCTCTCTCTCTCTCTCTCTCTCTCTCTCTCTCTCTCTCTCTCTCTCTCTCTCCCCCCCCCTCCAACTCCTCCTCTCTCTCTCTCTTCTCTCTCCCTCTCTCTCTCTCTCTCTCTCTCTCTCTCTCTCTCTCTCTCTCTCTCTCTCTCTCTCTCTCTCTCTCTCTCTCTCTCTCTCTCTCTCTCTCTCTCTCTCTCTCTCTCTCTCTCTCTCTCTCTCTCTCTCTCTCTCTCTCTCTCTCCTCTCTCACTTCATGCCACTCGCAACGTACCCATTTGTGGTGAATGAGGAATGGTGATCTTGGGCCGATTGATCGATACTCGAAATTGGAAGCAAGTCATTTGTTTGATGTGTCGAGCAGCGGCTTTGTATCCTCAACTCTTGGGACGTTACCAGGTACCTGAATCATGGTGGATGGGTTTGCTCCCTCGAATCATGCTTGGCGCCCATTCCACAATGTAGAGGAAACATTCTGAGGTTGCCATTCCAAAGGTCTGAGGATACATTCTATTGAGAGACTAACTCAATTTCATCTTGTTCAGTGCCGGGTTTCGTGGCAGTTTCCATTTTCCCCACGAAAAAGTTGTCGACTTTCAGATCTGACAACTTCACAGCCCAGGTCTGTAGAGCTTTCCCTTTGGAGCCAACACCTCCGTTTTGGCGCGCCCAAAACCCACCAAACACCAAACCGCGAGGGGCGGCTGGCGGAGCGCCTCAGTCAGGCGCTGGAGCGCCTGGCAGGCCAGGAGCGACGTGTTGTCTCGGGTCTCGGTGGAGTCGGAGGTCGGGTTCAATTGGCTTGTTTTGGCGGGGAACCAACTTTCTGGACTGTTTTTTTTTTTGAGGATTGCCTTTGTAGGATCGTTTTTTTGAGAATGAAATCCACGCCTTTTGTAGTCCCGTGGTTCTAGTTTTGACTTCCTTGTAGACTTTTAGTATGGAATCCTTTTGCAGGATTGGCTTTGTAAGTGGATACCTCATTTTGAGGGTCTCCTTGTTAGTGATTCCGTTCCGGGATGATTCAAAGATTGGGGGTGGGGTTGGTTGACAGGCAGACAAAGAAAGCTATCATCTTGAGGCCCGAAATGTTACAAGTGGAGTTTGCAGAGTTTCCCTTTGGGACATCCACTGTTGGGGGGGGCCAATCGCGTTTCAAGGAGCTTTAGCTGTGCAACTTATTGAGAGGTGATGGGCTCACAGCAATGGCACAACCAGCGAGCCTAATTGTACCACAACATGGGAAAAGAGGGGGGCAACTCTGGTGCTTTGTGACCGCGGGCCTTCAACTAAGGCCCCTATGCGCTTTGCGTTCCCTTTGTGTGGACACCTGTCTTTTGAGGGAACCCGGCAACCCTTCGAGTTAGCTTTGCCACAGCACAATCAGACCTCGACCTCGAGTTCTTGCTTGAAGATAGTTCCGCTTCATTGTGGCGCCATATGCAGGCTTGATCTTTGAAACCAAAGCCTGTTCCCCAAGTGAAGCGATGTCAAACTCGACATATCTTGGATCATATTATTGGTGCCACATGGCCCATGTGTCCTTTGTTTGGCTAGAAGATGGAGAGATCGCCCAGCGATCCACCAAAAGGAACATCATGGTATGCCATTTTTCCGCAAGGGCCTGCCGGTATCGATCATAGTAGTGGCACATGCAGCTTGTTGGTCAGGACATGCTGCAAGTGCGGAGTACCAGCCCATGTTCCCAACAGAAGATTCTTGGGAACAAGCATGGATTGAGCTTATCTGTGTACAGTCAGTACTTGTATGAGACTGCCACTGCGACTGCCCAGTGTCGCTACCTTAGCAACGCGAAGTTGTTTCGAGCCGGTCTACTCAATATTGCCTTGGCAACAGCATGTACTGTATGTATGTATTAGATCGTGCTCATATGTTGGACGCTGTTTC